AAAATTTCTCGATAATATGAGAATTAAAAGAATTAAATTAAAATCATGATGTTCAGATGTTAGAAACTAACTAATGGACAGATAATTGTTCATTGATCACTTTTCTTTATTCGAAAATGATATAATTTCAATTCATTTTCAATGAAGGTTTTCAAACTTTCCAATAATGAATAAGTGAGTTGTTTTTTTTAGTTGAAACAGAAACTCAATCACTGAGTATTCGAAGCTAAATTAAATAGTTAAAAATGTTCTTAAACACTCTCTGACATGTTATAACAGAAAGGACTATCTTAATAGAACATTATTTTTAATAGTTTCTTTTCATTTATATATCTCTATGGCAACGTTATCTTGTTTCAATAAATTATAAACTGCATGTATCTTCATTGTGTCGTCTTCACGCCATGCACTCTGTTGTATTCCTTCGCTTTTCAACGAAAAAGAAGATCAAAAAATATTAAACTAATGTCTGTAAAATTAATGATTGTTGTTAGTTTTCATGCTATCTTCACGTAGAGATAAGGGAAGAAGATATGAGCCAGCTATAATAAAAAACAAAATAGTATTTGATTCGAAAAGATATACATTCCCATTAGTTTTTCCATTTATATTCATTCTGCAAAAAAAAATATATACATCGGTATTGAATCTAAACGTCATTATGTCGAGAAATATACAATGCCAACGCATCCCGTAAGAATACGTAAGTTGTTCGATTAGTTTTTAGCTGACATATATTTCAATTACAAACGTTTTTATTAGAGACTTTGCACTATGTGTAAAAGGTAAACATTCTAAATAAGTGAACGGAATATTACATTCACTTTTGGCTTGTTCTATTTGATCATAAAAAAATCAATGAAATAGTTTAATATGAAAAGAACAAAATAATATTGTGTGTGTCACATTTTACTAATTAGATTTTGTTAAAAATGATTTGTCTATTGAATATGATACCTTTTTTTCAATGAAAGAATTTGCATCACGCTGATTCTAATCCTATCTGTGTGTGCTAAAAGAATAACAATAGAGATCTTTAATCTTTGAAAAATTTGTTTTCTTATTTGATTCACTATTTGATGCATCACTTGACAATCTTTGTATTGTCATGCTCGAGGAAAAAAAAAGAATATTAATCGCTTTACTAGAATAAAGCAGAGTTGACATAAGCATTACATCAGTTCTCTTATAAAAAAGAAAAGATGCCATATTTGATGCATAAATCATCTTTTGAAAAGATTTAATTAACAAAATGAGACTTCGTGTTTTTCTTTTCCAATTCTTATGAAATTCAATTTTTTTAAAAATATTCTCCTGTAGAAAGTAAATTATTTCGATAGATCATCTAAAAAATTCTTGTTGCATATCTGTATATATTACGGAATGGTAAGGTTCATGAATTTTCCTATTCGAAAGTAAAAAACAGTAATTCTATAAACAAAACAATGATAGTTAGCTACTCATTAGCAGTATACAATTGCATATAAAGATAAACTAATTCTGCATAATATGTAGATCATTAAATAACCTTAATTCTTTCATCAACAAAGTAAATGATCTAAGAAAGGAATATATAAAAAGTGTATAGGAATTTGTACACATGTTTTACAGTTATTGTTCATAATTGCCTAATAAATCAATGCATAGCAGAATGCTAATTATTAAATATTTGGAAATATCAGAAAATTCGATTTCTGAAAGTTTCATGTGAATTTTTATTTTATTTTTGTATAATATGGAAGATAACAAATGAAATTTTCATGTATATAGACATTTCTCATTCTTTAGATTGACAAGTTGAATAATACAATTTATGTTTTTAATGAAGAACTTCATAAACATCTGGCAACGAAAAAAAAAACCAAGTGATACATAAAGTAGCAAAAAAATTAATGTACATGATACAATACATTTAAATTTTAACGAACGTGCCAGCAATCTGAACTTAATCACTTTTATTATACGTATCTCAAACGAATAATTCGTTACAATTACTAGAATGATTTATTATTTACATCTGTCTATGATGAACGTTCACTGGATAATCGATGTTATTTCTATTGACGAGTTAGATGGCATGAAGATGATTCAAACGCGTCCGTTGCCTACAAAGATCAAAACGTTTTGTGCACAAGATGAATGACATTGCATGGTACGAGAAACTCTATGGTATTGTTAGATGAAAAGAAATAGCTTTGTTTTGCAGAGTATCCTGAAAGCTTTTAATTGACTGATTTTTGAATTTTCTTTTCCGTATATCTTACATTATTTGTCTGCATGTTTAATTTTTCATAATGGGATCTGTTTGTATGTTATCTATAAGTTCCTTTAAGATCAACAAAATTAGAGAATTATACATGCTAATAATAATAAAAAAGATTTCACGATTCTAATGACGAAATGAAAAGACTTAATTTTTGAATACATTTTTCTATTCATCGTGACGTGACAATACCAAAAAGAATACTATGGATCATAAGAATATTACATACTCGAAATCAAAGTTGAAAGATTTTTTTCTAATTTTAATTGCAACAAAATATCTACGTCTATGCACAAAAAAAAGAAATGTTTCAAATGCGTTTGAACTCAAAGTATGAAAATATTCTCAATGGAAACTCAGATATCAAGTCTTAAAATTTAATATGTGTGTGTTTAATGAAGAAAAACTAGAAATAAGTACGAAGTTGTTGTCATTTTAATTTGATCTCATAAGAGAACATTCTCGAATGTCGTCCACTTTTCAGCTGAGACTTAGACCTTAGTGAACTATGTCTACCATAAAAAGAGTTCATTATTTATAATTTGTTTCTGAGGGTAGCTCAAAGCTTCAAGTAGAAATACGAAAGTCAGTTTCTTTCTGATGTTCCTGAGGAGAACGACAGCGTTTATTAAAAAATATCGCAAAAAGTGAAATATCTCCGCAGCAATAAGCTAACGACATGAATTTTTTTCTAAGTGTTCATAACTCGTTAAGATCTACATAATACACATAGTCTAGACTCAAAATTAACTCGATAGTTTGAGTTCTTCTCGCGTTAGCTGAAAAAACTCTGAATATGTTTTTATGGAAATGAGCCTAACCGATATCTTTATAAGGACAAAGTTTCAATTCGACATTCGCAAAAGAGCAATCTTGCTATCACTATGCGATTGTAAAAGTCTAAATTCATTAAAAAATTCATGTCTCGGTTCAAAAGTGGGCGACTACTTAAGAATGTCCATTCGTCAGAGTAACGATAGACACGTTATCTCATGCCTAAAGTTCTGTTAAATACTTATTCAAGCAGCTTATACAAATTTTATAATACTCATATAGAAACAAGTAGTAAACAGATAAAATAGTTCAGCCAGTACATTTAGTTAACTATGATAATGATCATTTGTGAAAATTCTTTATCATATGTTACTAAAAGCAAAACAAAGATAAGATGACAGACTATATCTTCAAAAATAACTAAAAAAAAAAAAGAGAAATTATATTTGACTGAAACTATGTATGGAATTGTTTTTTTCATAAAATATTTTTGCTGTAGGGAAACGAACTGGTAGAAATTGGTGTATTTATTAAATATTGGAGTTGAGTTTTTTTAGTTAAGATATATTGATAATGAATTTTTGAAAGATGTAGCATTATTATATAGTATCAAAAATTATTTCAATCTTATGCATATAGATATTAGTTCTATGAATTCAAAAGAAAAGCAAAAAAGTTAGGGACATAATTAATGAATCTGATGAAAAATCTATAAAATAGGAATTCTAATATTATTTTCTAAAGAAATTTATGAAAATTTTATTAAAATAATTTCTCTTCATTTTTTTAAAATTATTAATGTAATGATGTACATTAGATCTATATTGAAATAATTTAGTAACATTATGAACACAAAAGAGATTTTTTTTTCTAATAGACGGTTGCATTGAATCAATGCATTATTAGCACTTTCCTAGTTATGACAACTTTTATTAAACTTAATGAAGCGATTTAAATAAATAAAGAAAGAAAAAACCTTTCATATTCATTATATTCGCATGAAAAATTCTCTAAAGATAAAAAAGAGATAAAAAACTGAATACAAGAAGTATGTTATAATTTATTCGTAAATTTCTTGTTTTTTTTTTTTTTCTTATTTTACAATAAATAAATTCCAATACGTATATATATATAGACAAAAGAGTTTATTTATTTTGAAATAATAATAATAGAGTCAAACATATACATATATATAGAACTTATTCATAACATTTTTTTTTTGTTAAATTGACATTTATTTTAATATTTGTTTCTAAGAACATAAAAATTTTCTTTTCTTAAAAAACAAAAAAGAAAAACGAAGAAAGAAAGAAAGAAAAACAATGGAATGCTATTTAATAATCTATATATTCCATATTTATAGAGTTTTTTTTGTCAGATGTATACACTGTTTTTTTTTCTCATTTATTGCACGCGCACACAACACCGAAATAATGACATACAAAAAGACAAAAAAAAAACGAAAGAAAAAAAAAACCAAAGACACAAACAAAAAGCAAAAACAATCATTCGAATAGAATACATATATCACTGAAATCCCAAACAAATGTCATTCTATGTTGTTGCTGTTTATTTTTCTTGTTGCTTATAATAATAATAATAATAATTATTATTATTTTTTGTTTTTTTCTTAATGCACTTGTTGGAGCAACTGAGTGTGTCACGACTAGTTAGAATGCTTGAGCAATATTCACACATACAGATAAACATGTAGAAATATATGCAATTGAACAAAACGAACAACAAAGAGAAAACAAAAAAGATAAAAACCACATTGAGCAAAGCAACCAACTAAAACGAATTATTTCACAAAACGACAAGAAAAAAGAAAAAGAAAGAAAAAGAAAAAAATTACAAGATCACCAATTGTTTTTTCTTTTCTCAAAATATCACCTTGGCTAGATAAAATGAACAATAAAGAAAACAAAAAGAAAAATGAATTTGTTTTTTTGTTTTTTTTTTTTCAAGTAAGAATATCAATTAGATTTGTCTTTTGATTTGTTTCATCATTACTGTCATTTTCAATTATTGTTGAATCATTATGAAATCTTTTTGTTAGATTATTATTATTATTATTATTATTTGTAGTGACAATTTTTTGTGGCACTGATTTACGTTTTTTACTACTTGAACTTAATGATATAGGTGTTATTTTTTGATCATCAATTAATGAAACAATATTTGTTGATGTTGCTGATAAACCAATTGGACTTGTTGAACTGTTCGAATCATTTGTACCATTAAGCCATGAACTAATTTAATAGAAAACAAAAGCAAAGTGTTTTTTTTTCTCTATCTCTCTCTTTTCGTATTTACCTAGTTAAAGGTACAATTGTTGGTAAAATAGGATAATCATCATCATCGTCATCATCATCATCATTGTTATTATTATTATTATTATCATCTAAATCATCTTCATCATCACTTTGTGTATTTATTAAATCATCATTATTATTATTAAGTGATGATGTTGACATTTTATTTATTGGACTTGATGATGAACGTATATTTGTTTTTGCTCTCATACGTGAATTATGAAACCAATTAGCTATTTTATTCATTGGTAATGATAATTCACCAACAAGTTGTTCTAATGTTGATTGACTTGGATATGGTTCATTTTCAAATATTTGTTTTAATACACGACGTTGATCATCAGTAAATAAATATCGACGTTTTGGATTATTATTATTATTATTATTATTGTTATTTGTTGTTGAAGATGATGATGATTTTTTCATTGCTGAATTATTATTTCCACTTTCTAAATCACCATTATTAGTATCTGTTGTTGTAGCTGGAGGACGAGAACGTCGTAAAGCTATGATACAGTAAACAAAGTGAAATAAAAATAAAAATAAAAAATTTTTACCATCACGTTCTCGTTTCCAAGCAAGTAATTTTTGTACATTGTCTGTATCATGATACCATGTATACATACGTATATATGGTTCACGACCTTTAACACTTAATGAATGCCAAGGACGAGGTTTTGATAATATTTCACTAACAGTTCCTTGAGATAGATTCAGTACAGCTTCACCTTAAATAACGATAAAGGACAATATATATATGCGGAAAATTATCCGTTAGCAATATGACTAAGATTCTTGGTAAGGAAGGCCGGGACTTTCTCCTCATAATGTCTGTTTTTCTGCCAATATTTTACAGCCTTGTAATAACTTTGAACAAAAACCTGATTTCTGAAATATCATTAGCCTTTTTTTCTAGTAAACAATGTCACTACGACATAAATAAAATTGAGAAAATGCTCGAGGGTGGAACAATCTAGTAGCAAGTGTTTTGTTGCAGAGAATACCGGGTGAAAATACTTCGTGTGGATTTTTGCGCCTTTTTCATCTCCGATAAATATCAACAATTCTGACATGATTTCATAAAATTAAAACATGCATTTCTCAAGACAAGTAATTTTCTTAGAGCTAATATTCATATAGTAGATGTATATTAGTTTACTCAGTGGACCCTGAAACAATTAGCACTAGAGTGATCATGCATTTTAATTTTAAAAAACCTCCAAATAAAGGCAGCATTTATGAAAATTAAATAAATACGTTTTATAGTTAACGCCTGACGCTAGAAAATTTCTATCCAAAGCTTATTTCCAGTATAACTCAGTTTTGCAAAAAAAATTGATTTACTTCAATGTGACGGAATTCGAATAAACAAACACAAAAAATGCTCTTACAATCAAATGAGAAGTTTGAAACTCATCTCAAATTGTATACATCTTTCTTTAAAATATCTAGAAAACCGATATTTATGGCTGTGACGTTTTATCTTGCTCAGAACTTTATCATAGATGCGACTCATATCACAAATTCTAATGTCTATCCTAAAAGAACTTATTCAGAAGAATAAACTCAAAATCAAATGAAAAGTGACTATGTTTCATTTTGTTTGAAATGATTTCTGTATATAAGAAATATTTACGATTAATAAATAATACATACCAAATACACGTTGTCCAATACTATAAGCAAAAAGAAGTTCTCGTACTTGTGAACTTAATTGTTCAGTATCGATGGTATCTAAATGAACAAGAAAAAAATTGTTTTTGTTTTTTTTTTTTCAAATATTCAAAAATCGATTTATTTTTGTACTTGGTAATGATATTTTAGGCAATTCATATGATGGCATAAGTGGATTTTTTGATGAATGTCTTAAATGATTTGATGATGATGATGATGAGGATTTATCATTATTTATTTTTGAGTTTTTTGAACGAGATTTTGATTTATTTGAATTTGATATTATTCCATTTGATGGTGATGATGATGATAATGGTAATTGTAAAGTATCATTTGTTAATAATTGTGATGAATCATTTAATAAAATATTTGATTGTGAATCTATTGAGTTGTCACGTGTTAATAATTTATTTGAATGATAACCATTTATTATTGTATTTGATAAAAGTGATGGTATTATGGTTGTTGTTGATGATGATGATGATGATGATGGTGGTGGTGGACAAAATGTCGGTAATAATATTGAATTTGTTGTTGTTGATGATGTTGTTGTTGTTGGAACATTTTGTACAAGTTGTTTTATGGCATTTGGATCATCAAGAAAAATACGCATACGAAGAAATGGTTCACGACCTTTTTGTGTTAATAATTCCCATTGTTTTGGTCGAGCAAGAATATCACTAAACATAAGATTTTTGTTTTTTTTTTGTTTTCTTCTATTTTAAAGAACAAACAATAAAAAATTGTTACTTACCTAACACTTCCCTGAGATAATCCAAGAATTTTTTCTCCAAAATGTCGTTGTGATATACTATAACGACTAAGAATATCTTTAACTGTTTGTACTAATTCCATTGTATTTATGTAACGATATTTTGATGTATCTTGTTCACGTAATGGTGCTAAAGCTGTTTTAATATGTTTTGTTGATAATTGTTGTTTATTATTTGAGATTTTAATTGATGTTTGTTCAATATCATGATGATTTGAATCAATTTTCATACTTAAATCAAGTGGAATTTCATCTGAACTTATAGGATTATCATCATCAATATCATTATTATTATTGTCATCATCATCATCATCATCATCATCATCATCGTCGTCATCATTTTCATCATTATCATTGTTATTATTATCATCATTATCCTGTTCACTTTCATCATCCGTATCAATTGATGTTGGTAATGTTGGTTGAAATTGTTTAAATAAATCATTATTACGAACAATTTCTTGTAACATAAGCCAATTACGATAATTATCTGGTTGATGACGAAGTAAATTAAATGGTGATGATGTTGAACAATCAAGAAGATTATTTGTTGTTGTTGTTGTTGCTGTTGTTGTTAATGTTTCATTATTAAAACTATTTGCTGTACGCATTAATAATGATGGTACAAATGCTGATAACATAGATAAAGATGCTGCTGCATTTGATGTTGCTGTTGCTGTTGATGATGATGGTGGTGGAGGTGGTGGAACAGGAAGTAAAAATGTTTGTTGATCAGATGGTGGGGATTCATTTAAAGGAGAATTAACTGCCGATGAGTTTGTTGATGATGATGATCCTGATGATGACGTTTTTGATTCAAGTGGATCTGTTAATAGATTAGCATTTGATGTTTCTTTATGTAAAGAACTACATGGAGATAAAGATAATTTTTGATCCTAAAAAAAAACATATGGAAAATTTGAGTATAAATTTAATGATATTCTATATTTACTATGTTATTTGCTGCTGCTGCTGCAGCAGCAGCGGCAGCAACAGCCGCTGCCATTTGTTGTTTTTGAGCATCAGCTAAAATTTGAACAATTTTTTGATGTGTTGCTGGATCTGTATGTTTTGTACTTATAGCTGGATATGGATTGTCTTTTGAACCTATTTATAAAATAGATTATTTTTAATTAATAAATAATTATATATATTTTTTTTTTTTTATGTTTCACTTACGATTATTCATACCTTTGCGTGGACTAATACTTTTTAATGTTAATATACTTTCTTCAGAATTTGCCCAACACCACATTTTTCTATAACTTTCTTTACCTTTTTCAGTTAATTTTGACCAACATTTTGGTTTTGATAATAATTCACTAACTGTACCTTGAGATAAACTTAATATATAACGTGCAAATATACGTTGACCAATATTATGTTGTGCAAGAAGTTTTCGTACAACATTAGCAACATATGTTGTATCAAGTGGTTCAAGTAAATTTGTATTTATATTTGTTGGTACTGATGTACATGTTGATGGTACAAGAATTGTTGATGATGGTGATGGTTTAGGTGATGTTTGTTTAGATGATTTAATTACTGTTCGATTATCTGTAGATGTTGTAGCTATACTTGATACGCCTGATGATGACGATAATGGTGGACTCCATGATGATGTTGGTGGACAATGAAGTTTTGTACATTGGACGGATGAAAGTTGATGACCTATGATCATTTATTGGATAAAAAAATGACTTTTTTTTTTTGTTCTATATATAAATCTATATGATTTACCTGGAAAGAGATTGGACGGCGTTAATGTTGTTGTTGTAACTGATGAAAGAAGTGAAGCAGTTGGAGTAACCATTGTTGAACATGATGTTGTTAATGATGGATATTTTGTATTTGTTGAATTTGAAAGAGTATTGCACAATTGAAGATTATCTTTTGTTGTTATAATTGAAAGTGATGTTGGTATAGATGGACTAATTTTTTTTGATGATTCATTTAATGTTCGTGTCATATCATCAATACCATTATAATTTGTTGTTGATTGTTGATGAGTTTTTAAATAAATCTGAGAAGGTGATGAAGGAGAAGAAGATGAATTAGATGATGAAGAAGCTGATGATGAAAGAAAAGATGGTATAGGTAAATATGGAACATTTGTTCGGTGCAAACATGGAGAAGTACAATGACGACATGAATGTTGAAGCTGATGATGATTAGTATTACCTAGAGTAATATAAATAAGTTGCTGTAACATGTATATATTCAACTCCCAAAATTCTTTAATTAGTTCTTTTCTTTTTTTCCTCTTTTTCTTGTCATATATATTTAAAAGCATGATTAGAGATAGAGAATAATAGCCAATCAAACTGTGTGTTATATTATAGGATTAGTTGAACTTACTTTCTGAATCAATTTGTGACATTTTGATTTGTGTTTGTTCATCTTGTATATCGAATGATTTTTTTGATAGATTTCCTATTTTATCATCATTCGAAGAACGATTTGTTGTAGAAAATTCGATTGATTTAAAAACACTAAAAAGAAAACAAGTTCTTTGTACTGATAATATATAAAAAAAAAATCCATTACTCACGTCAATTCTCGTTTGATTTCATCATAATCGGATTGAGTTTGTAATTTATTTTCTAGTTGTGCAATTAACTTTTCTTTTTCACTTAAGACATTTTCAAGATCAGAAATCTGAATAAAAAAAAAAAAGCTCAAGATAAATATGATTCATCCAAAAAAAAATAAATAAAGGAAAAAGTATTTTTTGTTTTTTTTTTCTTTTTTCGTTGAAATTCTTCTTCTTTTTCTTTACCTGTGTAAATGATGTTTCTTTTATTTTAATCAATGTCGATTGTAATTTTTGTGTTTCATCAACAAGTGTAACTATTTGACGTTCTTTAGTTGCTAATTCAAGCTCAAGTTTTTCACATAATTTCCGCTCTATTTCTTCTTGTGAAATCAACTCATCATTAGGTTTATTATTTGTTGATCGTATTTGTTCAAAATCTTCACGTAATTTATCAACAAATCGTTCTGTATTTGATGTTCGCTGATTAATAAATAGAAAAAAACAAAAGAAGTTCTGTCTCTTTGTTGAAAAAAAGAAAATTAATTTTTTTACCTTATTCATTTGTTCTAAATCTTGATTACACATATGATCATCTGATGAACATAAAGTATTTGTATCGTCTTGTTTTATTTTATAGTCAAGCATATCTTGATGTAAAGAATCTAATACTGATTGATGCATTTCCATTTGTGCATATTTTGTAATTAAATCAAATTGATGTTCTTTATCAGCTAAACAAAGTAAAAAAGAAAAGGTGTAACCAAACATGTAAAAATAAAATTTATTTATATAGATGATTCTCTTATCAGTTTGAAATAAAAACAAAAAAAAAAAGACAAAAAAAGCGATATTGTATACCGAAGATATGTTGGAAGTCTTCTTTGTCTTTAATATGTTGCTAGAAAAGGAAAAGAAAAAAAAATCATTTCAATAAAGTTTCTTTTTTTGTCAAAGAAAAAAAAAATAACTATGATCTTAAACTCAATAAACTTCCTTTGTTAGATTTTTTTTTTTATTCTATTCAATAACTTTCTCCTTCCAGTTAAAATCTTTTAAATATTTACTTCAATTTTATTATTCTTTTATATAATCGAAGTAAAATTTCTTCTCGTTTTTTGCTATATTAATAAAGACAAAAAAAAAGAGAAAAATTTACCTGTATGATTACTTCTGTTTTTTCTTCCAAATCTTTGATTTTATCACGTAATTGCTTGATTGTCAATTCTATTATTATTATTTTTAGATTCTTTTCTCTTGAAAAAAAAAAAATTTTCCTTCTTACCTTGACTTTTGACATGAGCTAATTCGTCTAGAAATATGATTTGAAAAAAAAAATATTATAAAATGATAAAAAATTCTATGTGTTTTACCTAATATTTCTCTTAAATTTTGATTTTGTACTTCTAAATCAGACACTTTTTCAAATCGTCTCTGTAGTATTTGGATATATTCACGAATTGGCACCGGATCTTTAACAAGAAGCAAATAAAGAAAAAAAAAAAAGATAAAAGGATACGAGAAAGAGAGAGAGAGAGATTTTATCTTACCTGGTAATTCACTTAAATGTTGATAAATTTCTAAGAAAGTTTGTTTAGTTACTTTGCTTCGTTTTGATAAACTATCTATTTCGATCTGGAACGATTTTAATATAGGTGTAATGGCTTTGCGTACATCCTAACAGACACAAGTGACAAAGTCAACACTTCTATGTAAAGAAAGAAAGATGAAGAAATGTCGAAGATATGATGTTGTTATCGATTTACAGTATAAGTGTGTGTTTAGTGAAAGGCAACAATTTTTTCTCTGTAACTCGGCTCACAAACACTAGTGATGATGATGATGATGATTAGAAAGAGAATATCGCACAAAAAAAAAGATGATGATGATGATAAGGTGTCAGTCGGTTTTTCTCTCTCTCTCTCTCTATTCTATTTTTTTTTCAAGAGGACTATGCGTGTCGTCGTCTATCTATCGTATGCGTTTATGAAGGAGGAAGACGAGACAGGTGATAGATAGATTTCTTTTTTTTTTCTTCTCTAAATGCAAGCAGGTGTTTACTAAAAGAGAATAGAAAATCGCGTGCTATACTTATCTTTCTATTTCTTTCTCAGTGTCTCTCTCTCTATTATTTGTTCAAAAATTGCACAATACGATCAATTCTCGGCCAATCATTGGCGAAGACCAATCGCGAATTTTTTTTGCTCTCTCCCTCTTTTTCTATCAAGATATAGGCATTTTCTCGCCTTCTCTTATCAACCGACCATAAGAGCAGAACGCGCAAAGGCAAAGACGAGAAGAAGAAGACTAAAGAGAGTGACAACGGGAGCCTGTCACACATCGTTTTGTGTTATGAATATTTCATTCTTAAGCGTAAACATATAGAAATAAAAAGAGAGAGAGAGAGAGACAGAGAATTTCAATCATCATTGCGTTTATTCTATATGAGCGAACGTCGCTTGTCTTTTTCTCTATTAGCAATCATCGGGTGAGGTGCCGGGAACGGAAGTCTCACAATGTTTATTCAAACAAAATGAAATGAACACACATATAGACACACGCATATAGAAACGCAAAATGCATTGCATTGCGTTCGTGTCGATTAACTGGCGCACGATTCATTTACACTCACTATAACTACAATAAAGAAAAAGAGAATTTATATATATATATATATATATGAGAAAGAAGAAAAGAACCTATATAAGACGAATATGATCGGAAACGTTTTGTATTTTAATCATCCGCTAAAGAGAAACCCTATAAACAAATAGAGAAGCGTCGAAAAAAAATTTTCATTACTAGAATGAACGTACATGCACCGATGGTGATGCAGATCGCGACAAAGAATATTAGGCACTAAGGCTCCACACTATCGTTGTTATTATGATCGGTTAGCTCACTTCCTTACACCTTCCAGGCATTCATACACAGGTGTATCTATCTATCTATATATATATTCATATATTCATATACATCTTATAAGAAACGGTAGTGCGGCATCAACTCAAACAAAAAAAAAATCACTTTAAGTTTTTTAAATTTTTAACAACTCTTTTTACTCGCTTGACGAATGCGCTCATTCAAAGTGGTTCAATCACCTGAAGTGGAGACAGACAGAAAGTAGCAAAAGACAAGAAACAACAAAGGACATAGAAAAGAAAAAAGAATGATTCTCTATTTTCTGATTGGTTTTTATATGTAATTGGAGGAGCGCGCGGGTGTTCGATTTTCTCATCGGAAGAGTTGCGTGCCGATGGGCACCAAAAGTAATCAACTAGAGTTCACTACTATTACTCTTTTACCAACGACAACGACGACTCGATACACGCGACAGAGAAGAAGAGGGAGAGAGGGAAGAGATCATGATATCGAATGATCACGTCTAATTAGAATCTCCATTTATATGTGTGACTAGCAGGGAAGAACGAATGCGCATCAAGTTTTTTCACCTACTAGAATAGGGAAGAAGTAAACTAAAAGAATAAGAATAAGAGAATGAGATGAAGAAGAAAAAGAAGAAAAAAAAGAAAATCAATTACGAAAAAGGAAATTGACCCTTGTTTGTGATTAGTTCTGATGTAGATCCGACTTAGTCGTTGACGCACCGACCAAGACATTCTTTAAGTATTTATTCTTCTTTTCCTTCTTTGTCTTTGTTTCTTTCTCCTCCTTTTCTCGTCGTCATTCAGGAGATGCTGTCTGATTAAAATTTCAGGAAGATGGAAAAAGAGAGTGAGAGAGAGAGCAGTGAAAAGTCATCAACCTAAACAAGATTTGACACAATTCAACACACCGTATGTTGTGTATGTGTGTGCGCGCGCGAGCGAGCGTATTCACTCCCTATTCATCGAGTGTTTCGAAGAGGCTTTTCTCTCATCTATTGAAAAGAAAACACCAGGTAGAAGTAGTAAGATGATGATCAAAGTATAAGAAAGAAACATAATGGTTGTCGCTCCGCCTATTGAATATGTAAATCATGTCTCTTTTCTCTCTTCTTTCTTGTCATCGTGAATGCGGATAAGATGAACTGAAGTCTTTCTTTTTCATTCGCTCATTTCCTTTAACGTGAACGATGAGAGAAGAAATGATGATGAATAATACAAATCGTCGCCCGCTAAGGGGGCGTGTTTGTTCGCACAGACACATACATATATACACATATATATAGATATATACATGAGAAGAATCGAATGTATCGGAACTACTTTGGAGAAGCTACATTAGCCAAATGATAGGTCGCTAGTTTGTCATTCCGTATAAGGATTATAGAACAAGAGAGAGAGTAAAAAAGAAGTTTTTTTTTTGTTTCTCTGCTCAATCACACGCAGACAGACGGTCTGTCATCACGCACAGACTCAGAGGAGACTATTCTACTGTGTCATTACCGGGTGATGATCAGGAGGAGAGGAAAAACGACACACAATTAAAGAGTATACTGATGTTGCTGGAGATGATAGATAGAGAAAGAGAAAAAAAATCCCTTTTTCCCTCTTCGATTGAAGTAGAATGTATGTTGTATATGAGGTGGAATTGACTTCATCATCAAGTTTAGTCTTCATCGCAAATAAGACGAAGAAGATCAAAGATCTTTGCACACGAGTGCACATATGAAGCACGTTTCAAACAGCAATAAATCACACGTTAAGAACAGACTCTCTTATATATGATTGACAAGTCATCCTAATGAGGTGTATGGGGTGTGTATAGTTAGTCAAAAAAAAAATCAATTTTCACCCCCTAATGTTCAGGACATATACAATTGAAATATAGAAATGAAATTTGATTATCACCTTTGTGACACGGCATATACGCACATAGGTAGTTTGACTGCTGTTACTTATTGCTGATCGACTTTTATATGTCACTTTAACAAATTAGAACAACAGTAGAGCATAGATGCACTGCATGAAAGCGGCAAATGGAAAGTGTATGTAATGATTTTGGCAAATGAATGAATGGAGTGGTAGTTGAGGTGTGCTTAAAAAAAGAAAAAAAAAGAGTGTGAGCAGATGCTAAATGTATACTAAAGATCTAACTGGTTAAATTTGAAAATTGACAATGTATTTATTCATGAATGAAGAATGTGGAAAGATTAAATCTATATCGAACAATTGAATTTTAACAAGCTGATCATTGATAATATTAAAAAAAGAAAGATATATTCAAAGATCTTTTTTTATTTAGAGTTTAAAATAAATTTTCTTCTGTATGTATATATATATACTTATGTAATCGATAGGTCGATTTTTCTATAGCTGAACTTTTTTCGGCCGATCGCATCAGTGTCAACTCTTAATGAACGATGAATTCGGCGCGCTATTTGTAATATGATCTTGTCCTTTCAATGATATTCAATTCATTGAAGTAAATGGGAACACCTTTACATACAAATTGATCCTTTCGCCTTGTATTTCCTGTATATATTGTATATGAAAGAAAAAAAAAGAAGAAGAAAAAAAAGCGAAGAAAAAAGAAAAAGTTTCTAAATCAGATGAGCTATTGTTATTGTCGGAATCTATATGTCACTACCGCTTTGTAACAGAGTGTATTGTTATGATGAGATCGTGCGTAAAATAAAACGACGAATAGGCGCAAGTTAGTCCGACAAACAAGACAGATATATACATGCAAATTAGTTCAACTATACACCTGCGCAAACGATGGTAGTCCAGGAAGTGCAATCTTGCTTCGAAGAAAAAAAAGAAGATGATGATGATGATGATGATGATGATTATTATGATGAGAGTTTCTCGAACGATCAGTCTGTCTTATAGATGATCACGTTCGTTTTGTATGTAGTGTAAAATAAAAAAAAAAGGAGACAATAGAAGCAAAAAGAAAAAAAAAAACTATGTGCGTTCGCACACACATACACTTATACACGACTGATGATCAAGAGTACCTGTCTTTCTTTTTTTTTTTGTCTATTTAATGATCAATTAAAATAGAAGATATAGTAAAGAAGAAATAAGAGGATCCACCTACCTCATTCGTATTTTTCTTAAAACCTCGACTTAATTCAACCAATTTTCTTCTTGATTGATCACTTTCATCAGCACAACTGACTATTTCAGTTGTTGTCACGTCTAAATCATGCTAGAATGACAAAGAAAAAAAAACAAAAAAAAAAGAAAATAATATTATTCTATTTAATATTTATATTCATTGATTTACATTGATAAATATATTTTCAACCATTAAATATAAAATTGATATTTGATAATAAAAGAAACAAATATAAAAAGAAAAAAAAGAAGAGAAATCGTAATTCATCTCATGTACACACACACACACATAATATATCTATAGACAATGCACGTGGGTACCATCTTGCGTCAATATGTGTGTCGTGTCGTGTCATCGTCTACAATTAATCGATTGTTTCTCAGTCGGCCCCAAAAGTGATTTGTTTTATTACTTTCTCTTTTTATTTCTTCTTTTTTTTTTGACATTATGTTCACTGACAATTTCTCGTTCGTTTCATTTATTGATACAACTGTACATGTGATGTGCACATACATATATCTATCTATATATATATATATATATATATATATATATATATATATATACAGACAAAGTTGTCTATCGTCACTAGTAGAAAACGATCATAATTAACGATCATGGATCATTAGTTGTTTGTTGTTGACAATATCTTTTCTTTAAACATATATATATATATTGTATATATACATGTTACAATGAAGAAAAAGAGAAAAGCGGAATAACAAAGCTGGATGTTGTCAATTCAAGATTAGGTTTACTATGTCGAGTCTTTTCGAGGAAAAAAGAGGGAGAGTTGATTGATATAGATTAGCCACGGCATCTCTTCTCAAGGAGGAAATCAGCGACGTCTTGTGGTGCTGCTACTCAAGTCAATGTCGCATTTCTTTATTTCTTTTAGGTCGATAAACGAACAAGACGAGAGAGAGAGAGACGGAAACAGATATTCGTCTCAGTTGCAGTTCTTCTTATCTTCTCTTGTATGGTGTGTGTCAATATCCAAGTACGAAGTGCTTCGTAGGATGTACCAATAAACATGGCGCCAAGTTTCACCACACATCAACTATATACTTCTCAGATCAATCATCGCAGACAAACATACATATATAATACATATGATATGCGATTTCTTCATCTTTCTGTTTTTTTTTGGTTTTACATCGGAATACATACCAACATATATACATATTCATTTACTGATGTCGATCATTCATTCATTCATTCAGGTTATTTATCACATGTTTATAACTAAGGATAAGAAGGATGGGCAATATTTCTCCTGTAAAAAGCAATCACCATTGGAATTTCTCTTTTCTTTCTTTCTTTCTTGTTTCTTTCGTTACTTAAAGCATAACTGCACATATATCTATCAACTAGACTCTGTACTATACATCAATCACTCAAACTTAGTTTTTTAAATACCATCACGCATATGTCTTTTTTTTTTATAGTTCTCACACTTTACATATAATATACACATATATACACTTACAGAATCGATTGAAACACCAACACAGAACTATTAACGGAAATTGTCGTTGTCGTGATACCGAAAAAGACGATATCTCTATCTGTATCATCATCGACAAACATAATATGTAGTAGTATGAAAGAGAGAGAGAGAGAGAGAACGATGCGATGGAGGCGCAAGAAAGAACCCTAATCACAGGCGAACAGTAGTAATATAGAAGAACAACAAAACAAAGAGAAGAGGGAAAACAGACGAAGACATAAAAAAAAGAATACTCTTCAAGAGCGATCGCTATGCATAAGACTCGATCTATTATCATTATGCGACATATAACTAGAGAGCGAGCGTCAACGGTGACGATTACATGATTAGTAGTTCTCGAACTCTAAAAGAGAAAGAGAAGAAAAAAAAAAGAAAAGAAAAGAGAAGGTCGACGACCTCTTCTTCTTTCACACACAAATGAATAAGGTGGACATGTTAGTTGTTTAGTAATCATTATACTGATCATCAGTATATGATAAGTAAACGTGTCATAATCGAAAAAAGGTCATTCTCACAAATACAACGTTTTTCGAGAATAAAAATAAATAAATAAATAAATATATATATATATACATACACTTGTATTAAACTTTTATGTTGATAGATATATTTTAAGCTTTGTTTAACTATTTTATTACACAACAGTTTTGATCACTTCATTCATTTTCGTTTTCTTTTTCTTTAGTGAACTGATCAAGAAATCTAACTCGAAAAGATAGATAGAGAAACACTTAAGAAATAAAGAAGAAGAAGAAAAAGAAAAAGAAGAAAGGTAAAGATAATAGTTTGATGTGTCATGTCAACAAACAAAGAAAAAGACATGAATTGTATAGATAGATAGGGAGAGAACACTTTACCTGAATTGATTTCAAATCAAATGAAGTCCATTGTTTAACAATTGATTCGATGTTTTTATTTGTTGTTGTCATTCTTCATCTAAAATTTTTTTTTTTAAAATAATTATTAAAACTACCAAATATCTATAAACCGTCTATTGAAAGTACCAGATTATATAAATCTACAAAGAAAAACTATACACATATACACATCGTATTCATTCAATACTTGTCTTAGTGCATAACTCTCAATTTAAAGCGTGTGTGTGTGTGTATGTATATCTGTGTCGAGGTGTATGTGTTCACCTGCATCTGCCAATATATATATATATAGTTCTGATTGCTTTACTTGTCTATGTCTGTGTACGAACAAGGGAGAAAATGGGCAAACTGATAAACGGTGGTAGTAAAATTTCTCTGTCACTCTCACGTTCTTTTTTTTTATTCTGCTTTTTTTTTGTGCTTCGAATGTTTGTTCCGATCATGTTGTTATCGACTCGATGGTGAAGTCACGGCTTGACGAGTGATCGCGCAAGCATGTGCTTACACATACATATACAATGACGAGTTTATTGGAAATGGCTGTTTATGATCGATTGCTAGTCAACTCGACCTACTAGACGTCGACAAAGAAACAGAAAGGAACAAGTTTGTAGATGGGTAGTAGAAGGAAAAATGTTGGCGAAGTGTACGAATACTCGCCAATATATGTATGTTCGATACGACTTCAACTTTCAATCGATTCTATCAAAACTAAGCCTTTCTCTTTTCTTTTTTTTCCATTTCGATATGCACCAGAATCGATCACAGAACGATCAAACTACGAAATATAGATTGAAAAAAAAAATCTATACATACAATAAACTATATTGCCTTCTTTTTCGTCTTTTTTTATACAAGTATATTATGTATGCATTGGTGTGCTCAAGGTAAAAGTAAAACGACAATGACGATCTTACCTTATTGATCTAATCAATTCTGTCGTCAAGATCATAATAATTCTTTTCAAACCCGTCATCGTCTTTCTCCTTCCTTGGGGGCGACTTATTGAGAGAGAGTATGCACCTGATTTATGATCAGCTTTATATGTGTACGTGTATGTCTACTCCTCCCTTCTCTTCTTCCATGTTCGCTTCGTTCGTCCATACTTTAATGAATGCTCAATGTTAATGTATGGAAAGAAGAAAAGAGAAAAAGGAAAAAACTGTTACTAGTAGTACCTAGATCATTTCAACATCAATAAATCAGGTAGATTCTCTTCTTTCTCTATGCCTTCGTATATAGATTCACATTGTCAATTTTCTTAAATATGCAAGCCCGGGAGGTAACATCCTGATAGAAGAGCTTGACACGCCATCAACATATGCTCACATACTCATATAAGGGCTAACTTTCATATAAAATGATAGTGATTGGCATTGGTAAAAAGAAGACACGAAATGCAAATTAGATACGATTGAAGAAAATTGCTTGAACATGAATGAGAAAAGAAAAAAGCTAGCAAAAAAAGAGAAAAGAATGACAAGTATTGCAATCGAATGGTAAACGATACCTGTAATAGGAAAAAGAAGTCCTAGTATTCATTAATTGTAGAAATAGTAAAAGAGGGAAAAAAGAAGGGGAAAGGTCAAATCAATGAATTTTTAGACAGCACAATAAGATGAAAGAGTACGACATAGAAAAGCTAATGATCACTGTTACAATAAGTCTCAGAAGACATAAATGAATAGAATATTCTCATAATGTTCTAACATTCTAACTGGTTCACAAATGCAGTTCCGTACAAGTCTATCTGTCACTATTTTTTTAACTTCATATGTTATTTTTATGATAACAAATCAGAATATAATAATTGGGATCGTGACTAAAAATAATGGAAGTCAATAAAGCAAAAGTGTTCTTTTATTTTTTAGTTAAATCAATAGAACCAATTTATCTTGAATTTATATTATCTGACATCTTTGATGGAATCTATAAAATACTATCAATAAGTTTTATTCCAATTTTCATTATTTATCAAAGCAAAAAAATATGAATGTTATACATATGAAAAATGTTTGTCTTGACCAGGTGATATCTTGCAACCAGTGTTTTATGTAATATGAAGACCGAGAAGATGACGTTTTTCCAACAATTGGATTGATCCTTCGAGGGTTTGTAGTTATTGAAACACATACGATGTATCCGTACTTGCAAAAATAGATGTTCGCCCTCGCGAAGTTTTAAGTCGCCCTTCCGGAAGAGCAAACCTCGATAAAATACTACTCGCAACTCCATGTGTTTTTTTATTTGCATAGCAATAATACAAGAATACATTGATACACCAAAGGCTATAAGTATTTAGAAAAAAAAAGAAAAGTAGTTTGATTGATATATATAAAATATCATTTGGTTTTTGTTTTCTTTTTTGGTTTTCGTTTATAATCTTCTTCATCTTCATCCTCATCAACTGCAGCTTCCATTGCTTTTTTTAATTGTTTTTTTTTTGTACGTTTACGTTTATTTGCTTCATCTTGTAAACGTTGTGCATTTTCATAAATATAACGATAATTTGCTGGATCTATATCAATTGATTGATCATTGACACGTTCTCGAGCAGCATAAGGTACTGCTATAATAGCACTTTGTTCTTTATCTTTAATTTCTAACATAATATCAAATTGAAGATCACGTGTTTCTCGTATAAATGATTCAAAATGTTTTTCATCAATATGATCAGCATGTGCACCTATACGTTTTCCTGTTTGTTGTGTAGCATAATCAATCATAGGACATTGATCATTAGACCATGTAGCAAAACATTGTTTCATAGCTTCAATCATTGTTTCACCATTATTTAAACAAGCATGATGAAGATTATCAAATAGTATTGGTATACGTGTATGTTCATGAATATAAAGACAATCTTGAACTGAAAATAGTCGATCATCATTTTCAATAACAAGACGTCGACGTAGAGAATCACTTAATTTTGTTTTATATTTTTCAATAAATCGATCCATTGATGCCTATAGGAAAACAAAAAGAAAAAAAGATTTATATATATATATATTTTTCTTTTCTTTCTGAAACTTTTAACCTTTTTATCACCATAGACACCTCCAACATGAATTTGTATTTTTGCATTTGAATCTAAATCCATTTCATCTAATAATCGACAATGATAATCAAGTTCAGCAATACTTTTATTAATAATATTATCATCTTTAGCATTAATTAAACAAAATTGATCTGGATGCATACTAATACGACAATTATTATCTTTTATATATTGACCTATTTGACGTAATGTTGATGAAAAATGTTTTGCCCAATCAATTGTACATATGGAATGACTAGCAAATGGAACAGTTTGTGATGATATACGAAAAAAATAAAATCCATGTTGAATATTATATTCAAGAATTTTTTGTAAACATATTAAATTTTGATTTGTTATTTCAAGACATTTTTCATTTGTATAATTAGTTAGACGAAATGCATGATTTGCTGTACAAAGACTTGTACATATACACGGATAACCAATTTTCATGCCAGTTAAACTAAGAAGTTTAGCAGCATTTCGTAAAATAGAAAGGTTTTCTTCATTTGAACTTATAGCAAGTTTTTGTTTTTCAATTTTAATATATTTTGTTTCGATTTGTTTAGTTTGAACTTTTTTTGTTATTGTTTCAGTTATAACTTTAGCCAGTCGTTGACTACGACGACGTACGTCCATTTTTTTATTATAGAATACTAAAAATCATATTTTAATTGAATAAATTAATTAAAAAAAAAAGAAAAAGAAAGAATTCAATAAAAATGGATTTTAAATATTAATAAGAAAGCAAATATTCTCCACTATTCGAAAATCCTGATAATTGAAATCAGCAATAAGAAAACTAGAAGATTTCAAAATATTTTACATGAGTTTTACTGATATTCATTTGAATAATTAAATATGAATATTTTGTATTTTTATCAAAGAACAAAACAGTTAGTTCATTCATCTTCTTAAATCTAAAAGTCTATTATCATTATTATTGTAAATAAATCATAAAATCAACAACAGAGAAAAAAAAAGAAAGAAAGAAATTGTCTATATATAAAAAAGAAAAGCAAAGAACAGAAAATGTCAGCATCTTAGCTCCCAAATATATAAAATCTGACAAACAAACACAGAAATATAATATTAATAATAATAATAAAAACATTTTTTATATCTATATATGTATCAAAAGAAAAAACAAAAAAAAAGATGATTACAAAATTGTACAAGAACAGCAACAGCTATTATTTTCTTGTTTCTTTTGTTTTGATAATAATACATTATTATTTGTTTGATGTTGACATTTGTTTTTTCGTATTAGTCGTACAAGTTCAATAAATATCTCATCAATATTATGACGTGTTCGAGCTGATGTTTCAAAATATGGTATATGCATAGAAGCAGCTGCAGCACGTGCATGAGCATCCATACCATTTTGACGTATATCTAATTTATTTCCGACTAATAACATTGGTACATTATCTGTATCTTTAATACGTAATATATCACGATGTAATTTATAACATTCATCTAATGAACGACGATCCGTTAAAGAAAAAACAAGTAAAAAACCTTCACCAACACGTACATATTGATCACGCATAGGTTTAAATTCTTCTTGTCCAGCTGAATCAAGAATTTCTAATTGAGCTATTTGATTATCAATTAAACATTGTTTTACATATGAATCTTCAATTGTTGGATCATAATCAGAGAAAAAAAATGATTTTACAAATTGTATAGTTATTGCTGACTAAAAAGAAATAACAGACATTTATAAATATACAATTGATATCAAATCTTATTGATGAGCATTGTCTGATTAGGATAGAAGATTATTGACAGTTGTGTATTATTACTTTCGATGATGATGTTTAGAAAAGCTTAGTTCATGTTAAATGAAAAATAGCTGATAATGATATGAACACAGCATGATTGAAGAATTAATGGTAATATCATTAACAACACTATATCCATGTTAATATAATATATATTCTCTAACTTAAGGGCAAATTTAAGTTTTTCTTTTAAATATTATCTATTTTATTCGATTTTTGATATATATAATGAATAGAAAAAGAAAATAAATTGATCGATTATACAAATCTTGAGGGGTAACTTAATCTTTTCTTTCTCGAGTAATCGAAGTATTGTTATATACTATGAGCCTGAAGCGTGTACAATCAAGAAAAAAAAATAAATCTTACTTTGCCAACTCCACCACTGCCTAATACAATAATTTTGTATGTAGGTTTATCTTTTATTTTTTTCGTTGTTGCATTTACATGACCATTTGATGAAGATTTTTTATGGTTTCGTGGCATGTGTCTTTATCTTCTTTCTAAACAAATCAAATGAATTGGTCTCTATGCCGAAAACAAGATATCGTCTAAATGCAAATAAGAGAAAAGAGAAAAAGAAAGAAAAGGAAAGAAGAACTGTCAACTCGTATATTATATACAGAATGATCAAAATTGATTTACTCAATAGTATATCCAATGTTACTCCTTCATTTACCTTGACTATTGATATGTAATATATATATGTATATATGCGTATATATTACTTCCAAGTTTGAAGTGATAGTTGTTGGCATATATGTCTCTATGGCCTTGTCATCATCATCATCGTCGTCATAACTCCGCCGTCGGTCTCTGATGATTTATGAGAGAGCAGATGCCATTGACCCATCATCGAAAGAAAGACAGAAGATCAAGCATTGATATCTGAAATAGAAGAAAAGAAGGAGAAGAAAAAAGTGTCGATGATTAGAGAATACTCAAAGCAAATACATATGGGACAGGTAAAATAAGATGAAAACGAGGAAATACGACACAAATGTTCTTTTTTTTTTGACTGTACTCTATATATTACATTATATTCGACATCATATGCCAAAAGAGTATTATGTATATTATAGAGCTTCTGTTTCTATTCGAACAAATGTCGATGTAATAAGATCAGTTGTCGTTTGTTGGATAATGATAAAAGTTTGATTTTGCTTCAATTACTTTTAAAAATACTTAAATTTCATTCGTTATGATATTCAATGATGTATTTAAAAAGAAAGAAGAAACAAAAAGAAGACTTACAACAACTGTTACTTTGGCACTTATCATTTCAATGAGAAAAAAAGAAAAACCATTTTCGACTATACGAAATATACTAATTGATTTTCATCAAGTAAGATGTCTAGTATTTGCTTGAGTTCATATGAATGAACAAAAATTCGGCTGTTTATTCAACTATGTAGCATATACAAATAGAAACATAGAATTCATTTTTCTGAACATTATTCATTACATAACTCTACATTTTTCTTTTTTTTTTTTTTGTTATTCGCTTTGCTTCTTATTCTCTGTCATTCATGTACGTATTGGCATTGGCAGTCTATTTATTTGCATATTTCTTGTCGTAATCAAGTTATTTAGGTGATAAATTATGATCTTGACAATACAACAGTACGAACACTCTCATCACAATTTACACAGACCAAATGTCAACATTTAACCGCATCGAACGATTTGTAATCTATTTTTTTTTCTCTTCTTCGATCAATCGTCATTTTGTCTATTCTTGGCAATTATTCTATATAGGGAGGCGCGCATGTATATATAATCTTTATCAAGAATAGTCGTAAATCATTATATACTTATTGATTTCCCACTACTCCTTCTTGAATATAAAGAATAAGTAATAGGAGAAAGGATATGTCCATGAAACAGTTATTGCATACGTATCATTTAACAGTATGAAAAAAAATATGCGAGACAATCGATACCCTTCTATTGCAATCTTCATTAAATAGAAATAAATCTATGCAAAGAGAATCTTTTGAATATCAAATATGGCTATTAAAGTTTATTATAGATATATTTTATATAAATATCAATTGACTGATGTTTAATAATTGTTATCATCTTTTCGACTTCGTAGCTTATGGATTCAATCTTTCACTTTAGTTATAATTGTGTCAATATAAATATCATCGATCGAAGATAATCGTGATGATAGAATTTGATCTATCATTAAATTATATTGTTGTTGTAAATGTTCTTTGTAATAATTCATTATATTTTGTTGTACATATGAATTTGATAATAATTCATCATCAGCAGAAGTAAGATTTTGTTTGTTGTAATTACAAATTTGTGTTGATAAAGAATTTATATCATGCTTATTGTCAATTTTATTGCCAAGAGATGTTTGATATTCATCAATAGCAGATATCAATGGTAAAACTGAAAGACGGATAAAAATCAACGCTGATGTAAGAAGAATAGACACCAATAAATCGATTAATAAAGAGATTAATGCTAAATAAAAATAAATTTATTCAAATCTATACAAAATAATGTTATTTGATACTAACCCAATCGTTTTTGTTTATTTCATTGCAAGAATAATTATAATATTTATCGATCAATTTTTCATATCTGATAATATCGATATAATAAACAAAGATAAACTAGAGATCATCTATTGTTTTATTTAATCGATAGAAGTTTTATCTTCAAATATTACATCATTATTGATTTTAGGTGCAAGATTTAATATAAGCTTTTTATCAATATCACGCATTATCGAATATTCGAACCATGATGAAGAGAAAAGCACGTATTAAATTTTTTATGCCACCTTCAAAAGAAAGAAAATAAAAATAGTTTTCATTCAAGTTTGAACAATAATAATGTTTATACATAGTTGAATAGTCTCATATATTCAGCTGTGTATAATCGATTATCAACCCTTGATTGATCGATATTAATTAACTGTATATATGTAAACCTACGGAGAGATATTAGGTTACTATTATTTTTTTTTTTTGAAAACTTCATTGTCATTTTTTATGCAATTTTAATACTTACAAATTTTCGTATGTTGCATATTTGAGAAATGAAATAACCCATTTTCTTTTAATCAAGGATTTATTTAAATCAATTAAAATTAATTCTAATAGAATATACATTATGAAATTTCATCATTATTTGTATTAATTCTAAACAGTAATAAAACGATGTTATATTATATATTTAAATAATCAAAAATCAATTAATCAATTGTTTAATGATTTTCATGCCAAGTTCTCGATGATTATCAATATTATATAGAAATATATGGAAGTTATCTGAAAACATTAAATAAATCAGATAAAAAGAAACTCATGTTGTTTATATGTTTCATTGATAAATATTTTTATCATTGATATTGTCATGTTCATTAGTCAAACTTTATCGATATAATTTATATTTTGAAAAAAAATGTTCAATATCTTTTTTATAATAAGGTTTAACAGCAATTGCTGTTGGAATATTTTCTGGTTGTTCAATCCATAAATAATGTTCAATAGAATTCTTTTTAAGTATATCACTTAATTCATTTATTTCATTTTCATTTCCATCAATACCTAAAACAACTTTACGCATTCGTTCTAAATCACTTAAATATAATTTTGTTAAATCATCATTTATTGTTTTAAATAAAATAGAACTTGATGCATGACATGCTTGAGCAATAATAGCACCATCATTGTAATTTTTCATTTTTTTTAAATCACGTCTTAATAAAATATATTGAACAATTATATCAACTGGTGTTGCCATTGTTCTCATAGAGCTAAAATACATATAAACAAAACATGGAAAATGATAGAAAGATTGCTTATATGTTTTTATGATTTACAAAAGATATTTTATATCTATTTTTATTTAATGCAAAATCTACAATCACAGTATTGAAAATACAAAACAAAAAAAAAAAGAAAAACATTCAAAGTTCAATGTGTTTTGTTGATTTTATTGTATTTACATTCGGTAAATGTAACCATTCATTGGGAAAGAAAACATTACGTTCACTATGATGTTTCACAAGAAGTTCATTACGAAAATATGCTATCGTTTTATTAAGACCATCATTAAGTAAAACCTAAAAATAAAAAATATTTGGATTTTTTTTTTACAACAATAAAAGCAACTACGAAATTTTAATCAGAGAACGAAATATTATATCGATTTGTAGAGGAAGACTTTCTATATATAATGGTTTATACATACTAACGGATTTTGTTGCGTACCGTAGGAGAAAATGAAATTGAAAAAATTATGGATTTTACATGTTTGAAGGAGACTCTTCTGTACTAGAATCTAAATCATGTAGGACCAAGCCGAAAACCACACAAATGATGTATATATTATTCGACAGTCCATGCTAGAGATGTGCAGGGTTAGAAAATACTTCTCAAGAGGAAATCCATCCGACTCATCTCATATATAAGTCTCAGAGAATAGATAAAACTTTTGGAAGTGTTTTTGCTAGTAGATCTTCTTGAGTTATAGTCATTGTATTGAATATTCAGTCTATTGCAGGGTATCATAAGAAAAATTGCAACAAGAAGTTTCGACCCGAAATTCTTTCCCACAATAGCCCACTTGCTCGTTATAATATCCTGAAAGTTGTTGCTCAAACATATGTATCCCTTCTGAGATAACTCGTTGGGAAAAAAATTTATTTTCATACAAGAGCTCCAAAAATAGGTCAGTTTTCTCGTTATATTCTGCGATAGGCTGAAAGTTAGTCAAAATATCTATAACTCTTGAAAAACGGCCGAATAGCGCAAACGCAACTTACTAATCGAATGAACTCCCTCATCAGTCAAGGTACAGAGTAGAAAAAAAAATTTGCCATATGTATCTTTAGTCTATACTGCATAATACTTGAAAAGTATTCATAGTTTTATATTAAACAATCTGAACAATATTTTAAATATACACAATTGTAGAGATTTATTTATTTTTCCAAAATAATCGATGAAAAAGAATCAGGAAATAATATTCTTAATAAAGATGCAAATAAAAATCGATCTATCCATTAAAAGAAAAGCTTGATAATGATTTAGTATTAGCACGTACTGACTATTTCAATTTGATTTTCTCAAGAGGTACGGAACAGCATTTGATAATATATAATCCATTGGATAGAGAAAATCTTTTGTTACAAGTCTACATATGTATCTTGTTCTCTGATGAAAATCCTATAATCTCTTTTACTTGTGGTTCCCAATTAAGCCAAGACTTTGCTAATGTTATATCGGGCCGTCGTTGTTTTGGGTCATCAGTAACAGGGTCTTTATAAACAATTGGAGCTTGTGATCCTAAAAATACACAAAAAAAAGCTGATTTTATTTTTTGAGAACATTAATATTTTAACTTACCAACAAGATCTTTTATTTTAAAAGCAAACTGTTCAATTGTGTATTCATCTGGATTTCCTAAATTCATCGGCATTGAATAATTACTATTCATCAATGCAATAAGACCATCAACAAGATCACTAACATATTGAAATGATCGTGTTTGTTTACCACTACCATAAACCTATTAAGAAAAAAAAACACAACAGAAATTCTCTTTAAAATAATTCAAATTATTAAATCTAACTGTTATGGGTTCATTTTGAAGTGCTTGTAAAATAAAATTACTAACAACACGTCCATCATTCATATGCATTCGTGGACCATATGTATTAAATATTCGAGCTATACGAATACTAATTCCTTCCTAAAACAACCTCTAAATAATATATATTTCTTTTCATTGATTTTAAATAATAACTAAACCTGTTTAGCATATGCATAACACATTGCTTCAGCAACTCGTTTTGATTCATCATAACAAGATCTTGGTCCAAACGGATTAACATTACCAAAATATGTTTCTTTTTGTGGATGAACTTCAGGATCACCATAGACTTCACTTGTTGAAGCAAATAATAATCGAGCACGAACACGACGTGCTAAACCTTTTATCGAAGAAACAAAAGAATTATCATTAATCTCCAAAAACCAAAACTAAAAAGAAACCATTAGTTTTGATTTATTCACCTAACATATTAATTGTACCAATTGAATTGACTTTAATAGTTTTAACAGGATTATACATATAATGTGGTGGAGAAGCAGGTGATGCCAAATGATAAATTTGATCAACTAAATAAAAAGAAAAATTTTTTGTTAAAAGATTTTTATATTTCAATTTTTTTTCTACCTTCAATAAAAAGTGGATTGACAATATCATGATTGATTAATTCAAAATTTTCATGACCAATCCAATGTTCAATATTACGTTTACGACCAGTAAAAAAATTATCAGCTACAATTACTTCATGTCCTTGAAGCATTAAACGATCAACAAGATGTGAACCAACAAAACTATTTTTAAAACGAAATATTCAATCTATTGAAATAAATATTTATACATACCCAGCTCCACCAGTAACCTAAGGAAAACTTATATAATAACCTTTTATATAGATAAAAACAAATCTTACTTACAAGAATACGTTTCCTATCTTTGTATGTTAGGAATGTTACTTCAGGATATTGTTGTTGTCTAACAGTAGATAAAAACTTATAAGTAGTGTTACTTTTTCTTTTTTTTTTTTTTTTACAATCAATTATTTACCGAGCTTCTAAAATTTGTATTCGTTTTTCTAAAGCTAAAATTCTATCTTCTTGACCATTAATAATTTGAAAAATACTAAATCGATTCAAAACGAAAAATAAGAATATTAATTACAAAAAAAGATCAATAAAATTTCGTACTGTATAAAAGTAAAAATTATCAAAATAGATAAAATGTCATCTAAATTAATTACAATTAGAATTTTTGTGTTTTTGTTTGATATAATAATGAAATATATATATACATACTATAATGTTTATAGATCATTTTGGCATTAAAATTCAATTAAAATATTCAAGACAAAGACATCAGGCTACTGACGTAAAATATAAATAGATATATAGAATTAGTACTGTACATATCAGATCATGGTTTGTGTACGTAATAGTTCTTATATCAAGACCACTACGATCAACATGTGGTACGTGCGCATATATGTATTATTCATTTCTATTGGTTAGACTCAATGATCAATCATTTCCTTCTATGATATTTCAATATAATATGTTTCCATATGGATCAAAAGAAGATATGGGATAGTTGTCTGAGAATAAATAAATGATTGTTGCTAAGCAAATATAGAATATCATCTTCAAAACTTGATAGTTGTTCATTTTAGATCTTTCTTCATCTCAAAAAAAGTTCATTTTCATGAAAAACATGATAATTTAGATAAATGCATGAAAAAAATAGCCAGAGATTTGAGTTTTCATTTATGACAAGTTTTTTCCAAAAATTTTCGTTATTTTCTACTTGAAAAATATGGTTTTTTTTTCCAGAGAAAGCAGAAAATTTATTTCGTTTTTTTTGATCGCACACTTCAGTATTCTAGAAGGAGCTTCATTATACGGAATAGTATTTTTCTTTTATTTGAAACATCATGTCAAGATGCCGAGCATGACAAAGTCATTTTTTTCAACTAAACTTAATTACTATTATAGAAGAACGTTCTGTTTTAATTGGAGCGACATTTTTTTGAGAGTTTTTCGAGACATTAAACTTTTCTTCTTTTAAAAAGTAATAATTTTAAAAATACAAGGACTTTGTCATGCCCTTCTGCATCTTGACATGCACTTTCAAACAAAACAAAAAATTAATTCTATAGAATCAAAGCCCGCATAGAATTTCCTGTCGCCAAATGAATTGTTTTTGATTAATATTTATTGAATATCTTCTAACAACATTATGAACTAGCATTGAAAAAAATTTCCTACAATATGAATATAATTTGGTTCAAGATCGATTTTTTGAGCGAATCTGAATAATAGTACCTTCATACATTGATTTGTATGTAAATTCATTTGAAGCCTGTAATTAAAATAAAACTTAATACGTTATTATTTAATACACACGTTCAATAGGTCGAATTTATTTGAAATATAATAGAAACGGATAAGATGATATTAAAAAAGAATATTAAAAAAAAAAAAGAATCAGTTAAGAATAAGATTAATAATCAAACATGGTTGCTAATTGTTGTTGTGTAAACGTTTGACCGAATACAACTTGTTCAGACATATGTTCAAGTATTCGTTCGAAATCAGCTTTTCTCTAAATGAACATTACAAGATGATTGATATAATTATACACAAAAAAAAAAAAATAGATTTTTTTCTTGATCATGCATCATGCAAATTGTGATTATGTAAGACTAATTTCTTTATTATTTCTCTTTCTAATAACGATGTGATCTAATATGAGTATTTTCAGAAAAAAAATGTAAAAATGCTTCGACTATCTGAAGAAAATTATATTATTAAAAAAAAAAAATAATCAATTGTATTGAATATGTGTACGTACTCTTGCATTAGCAAATACTTGACCAAAACATGACAGAAGAAGGGGATCTTCACGAACAGATTGTGAAAAATCATTATCACCCAAACGATTATCATGATCTTTATCCATTTTTTTTAATGTTATTTCAACTAATTCTTTAATACTTTCATCTGGATCTTCATCACCAGCTTGCTATAGAAAAACAAACAAACAAACATTGATTATATCACTAAAAAAAAGAAAATATTTACATACTTTGAGAACACTACTTTTAAGTAATTGAAAAATTTCTTCACGGGTTATATGTTTTTCACCTTTGAGTGAATAACAAGTAAAAGCAACTAAAAATATAAAAAATAAAAATAATTTTCTTTTCATAAAAAAATAACTTACAAGCAATTTTTTCATCTAATGTTCCACGTAAATATGTATTAAGTCCAACAACCCATTCAAGCATGCTTACTTGTCCATCATTATCACGATCGAATGCTTTGAAAACTGAACGAAAACAAATTTTTGTTTTATTAGTTTTATCTTAATATTACCTCGATCCATTAAAATATCATCAGTCATATCAAATGTATTATGTAGAATATCACGAAAACGATTTCGATCAATTTTTTCTAAATGAGAACAAAAAAAAAAACATTCTTAAAAGCAAAAAATTTCTTTGTATTCATTACCTTTATCACCACTTTTAGTCAAATGACGAAATATGGTACAAAGTGATTCAATTTCTTGTTTTGAAACTAAATAAATTTTCAAAATTCTTTTTTCTTTTTTTTTAAATATCATCAAACTCAACAAAAAAAAAAAAGAATGTTAAATACTTACAGTGGAATTTTTCCTTTCGTTTAGCTACTTCATCTATGACATATTGAACAGCTTTTCGTGATACGGGTTGTCCTTTACCATGACTTATACTTTCTAATTTCTATAAATTTCATTTAAATAATTAAGTAATAAACAAAAAATACATATGTTAAAGTAACAAATATGAAGAGATTTTTACCCATGTATGACGACTATGAATTTTACGAATGCCTGATGAATCAACATTTTGAGCTGATGATCGATTACTTTTAACTTTGGCTGACGACATCTAGTATACGTGAAAACAGGTCTTCACTTTTTCAATTTCTTCGTATACAAAATCAACGCATACATAGTAGCCATTGTGAGTTTCAGAGACTTAGAAACGTCCATTAAATTCAATTAGATTTTTCAGTCAATTATATGAAAAATTACATTATGAAAAATTTTGTTTTATTCTTTTAATAAAAGCAGATACATTGAATATTTTTCAAGAGATCTTAATAAATTAATAGAGGGCACTATTATCACAAGATAAAATTCGTTTGTAGCCAGTATGTTTCCTTTCAAGATGGAATTCTTACGAAAAAGAAAATAGGAATAGTTGTATTGATGATAATAATGAATTTTAGTTTTATTGTTATTATTATCAGATAGATACATGATGCTATTGAACTTTTTCAAAAAATAAAGAATCTTCTATTGAATTATTTTTTAATTGAATTGTGTAGATGCACATGAAATATATTGAAACTTATTCAGTCATAAACATAATATTTTTATAAGAATATGTAATTGAGTTGTATTCTACTATAAATAGTAAACAAGATAATTATATCTGCATATGGATTCTTGATCTATGAATGAAACACTTATAGAAAGTCATGAGCTCTTGACTTGAAAACTATTTCAATGTTGAGAAAATATGTTTGATGTCTTTCATAACAAGTTTTTCTTATATTGTACAATCATTCATCAGTTTAATAATGTTTGATATATTCTAAAAACATAAAAGTAGATCAATAATGACATAGCAGCATTAGTCATTCTTTAATGTTGAATGAGTTTAATAACAGAAAAATTCATTAGAGCATCACTCTAAGACAGATTCACGTCTTTTGTTATGTGTTTGTCAAAAAAATGGAATTATAACGTATAGTTGTTATTGTGAAAAATTACTTATTTATTTCTATCATAGCATTGGCATATTAATTATCTAACTATTTGTTAGAAATATCTTTATACAGAAAAATAATTGTATCCGTTAGTAATATTGACATGTTATATGACCTTGATGTCATTTACAGATGTTCTTGCAGAAAAATCAACAAGTATAATTGCAGATACTAAAAGCTTTTTTAAATTTCATGTAAATAAATGAATATCTTTAGTCCTTTATTGTCATTTAGATTAATTGATTGGCGAAAATGATATTATTCACTTTTCTATCCATTTGATCTTGTACAGATACTTCGATCAAGTTTCGGACTATTTTCCCTGCGATTCTTGTATTGAGATTTCTCCGATGCACTATCGAGCGTGTCAAACCTTTCCACAATGATGCTAAATACTTACATAAAATCTTACTTTTCTAAGAAAAAACTAACAAGAGTAACACCGAAAAAATTAAATAGTATTGTTAGACTTTTTATGATAATACCATAGTGAAGAATTCAAGTACAAATGTCAATTTAAGGTTCTCCTTGAATTATAGTGAAATTTACTAAACCCTATGATAAAGAACGTTATCGTAACACGAAAAGAATTGATGATGAAAAACGGACATAAAAATGCTGTATTAACTTTCGAATCTTATCAAACGTATCTTTTCAGAATTTTAGCTAATTACATCAAGTATGATAATAGGTTTTTTCAAACAAACTATTTTCTTTAGAAACTCAAAGATGTCTCTATTCAACTGACGTACGTGAAAAAGTTTGATGCTCAATATGAAATTGCTATTCATTATTTATTTTAATGACACAAATCTCTATCGGATATAGAGAGTAGCTAATTTCATTTAGGTTAAGAAGATTACTCTTAATCTAGAATGGTCCGTTGTAATTCTAAATATACTTTTTCCTTGAAAAACTTTCTGATAGCTAATGAGAAAAAAGTCATTAGTTTTCTTTTGTGTTGTTGCTTTGTGAAATGTCTGTTATGTATAATGTATAAGCAGAAAATGAGAAAATACACACTGTGTAAACAAATCAAATTCAAGAGAAATCAAAATATTCAATCTCTTCATTTTGCACTATATGCTTCCTTTTAGGACACAGAGTTAATCGAAGAATAATATCATTTAACCAGCTTTTTCCTGTAGGTTTCAGATGTTATACTTAAACAATTTTCCGCTAAAAACTTTTCAATAAATATATTAGTATTCATGCCAATTGTTGAAACAATTTGGAAGTATATATATATATACATGAAAAACATATACGAATATTTTTTTATCGAGTTCTTACTGGTTGTCGATATATATAATTGATATTATCTTTATGAGCCCAATTGAAAATAAATATTATGCGAGCAGAATTTCTTAACGAATAGATGTTTGAGAGTGTACTCATATTTTATCATAAGTGGAAATTTTTATAAAGTAGATCAATACAAAGTAATCAAGTTTTTCAATATCGATAAGATATTGGTTTAACAGGTGCTCTACAGTAAATATGTAGCAATATTAAAGTCTCTATTGCTAACTACCAAGAAGTGTTCCATTTTATGACATGATACAATATCAGAAGTGAAATATTTTTTTTTAATAATGGATAACATCAACTTTAATTTCATCGTACCAAACAATAAAATATCTGCTAAACAAATATCGATCTTGAAATTTGTTGTCAAAGATCTTAATTGATACTATTAAAACTAAAATATTTAGTTAAACAAGATCACAACAATGAAACATTGTCCTAGTCATCAATAAAGAATCGGTTTTTTTACTCTCACATACGCAATTATCTATTATTTGTACAGTTTATTTTCGACAGAAATAAATTTATAGAGAATACATTTTAACCAACCATACTGTTAATTACATTTGCATTATACATATACATTGAGCGAATGTTCTTCATAGTAACAACCTTGTTGTATCATGTTTAAGATAATTATACAACGCCATCTATTAGTATTTCGTAATAAGAATTAAATTTTCTTTAATTATTTTAGAAAAATTACAAAATTTTTTTTACATTTATTAATTGACTTCAAATTAAACATAGAAAATTATATATATAAAAAATAAAATAAGTAGTGTCATCTATTTGATACTTGTCGTATTTGTCTCAAAATTATAAACTAACTATACTTTTACTCGAAGTTAATAGTAAAGATACTCAAATACATTTGTGAACTTAATATTCAATCGTTTAAATATCATTTTTATATTTAACATTTATACAAAAGAAAAAATTCTTTTTTTTTTTCGATAATTTCGTTTATTACTCATCAATAAATCACAGAGTTAATCATCTATTGAATTCCAATGAATCCTTAAAAATGATTTATTATTATTATTTGACGTTTAAAATTTTGTTGAATTAAAATAAATTTCAAATTATTGCGTTTTAGATTAATTTTTATTTTTCATGGCATCTAAAATATTAAAAGCGGTATTGAAACTCAATATAAATTTATTTATTTGTTTTTTATATGAATCTTCTTTTATAGACAACAAATCTAACTGGATTAGTTGTATGCAAAGATCCACATTATGTATGTAAATAATAATTATCATAAGAAAATCTCTTTCTCTATCTCTCTCTTTTGATAGGCATTAAAACTTCTTTATGGAAAAATTTTACGTGATCTTAAAAGTATACCTGAAACATCATCATATAGAAAACATACTGAAGATATAATTAATTCACGTCTTGAACATGTTGAAAATGTATATTTAATATGAAAAATATATATATATATTATTTATTAAAAATTTATTTTAGGAACCAAATATCGCTCGTCTCGAACGTAAAATTAATTGTGGTCAAATTGAAGAAGTCATTGTACAAGTAACTAGTTTTAAAATAGATATAAATATTAATATAAATAAAATAATCTTTCTTCATTTTATTAGGCTGAAAATGAACTTATGTGTGTACGTCGAATGGCTTTAAATCATGTTTGGGAACCACTTGTTGCACAAGCACCACCTAATCAATGGAAATGGCCTATTGTTTAAATAAAACTAGTTTTCATTCTTTTTTTTTTTCTCTCTCTCTAGTATAGCCTGTCTCTTTTTTCTTTTTCTAATGAAAATACATACCCATTATGCTATAAATCCATGCGTTTGATATCTTTTAGATGTTTATATAGTCATGTCGAATTTCTAAGGCAAAAACAAAACAGATAGAATTTCTTTACGTTTTTTTTTGTTCAATTCTCATGTATGTCGGATTCATGTCAAATAATCGAAGGTAATGATAGTCATTCCAATGAAATCAATGATGAACCACTTGATCCTCGAATACAAGTATATATAAAAAAAAAAGATTCTTGAATAAATCGAAAGTAAACATATTGAATATTCTGTTCTTTTTTACTTTTTTTGAAGATTGAATTAGAACGTGCAAATGCTGCAACAAGTCAAATAAATAATCTTGAAACTCAATTAGATGTAAGATTTGTTTTGTTTTTACTATTATAATAAAATTTAAATAAAATTTTTTTAGAATACTCAAAAATTATTTCAAATAAGTTTTACTAATTGTAAACAACGTTTAGCTAATTTAGCAAAAACACTTGGTCGTTGTGTTGAACGTGCACGACCATATTATGATGCTTGTAAACAAGCTGAAGAGGTTAGAATTGTTTTGTTTGTAATTTAAATGATTAGTAGACAGATTGAATATAGAGATGAAGTCAAGATTTTAGTCTGCTGGGAGTCTCAGTCTTGCCTACTGACCTGTGAACCCTTCCTGGTAGATTCCATTGGGTTTGGATGGAAAGAAAACTTTCATACATGTTTAAGTTTTGTTTGTTTTATTGAAAAAATCTTTGATTTATTCATAAAACATTAAAAAAAAAATTAACTCTTCCTTGTATCTAATAAGCAAGACAAAAAAAACAATATGGATTTTATCAGTAGGAATTTGTTAATGGGTGCATTGGAAGTTTTTTTTATTGACAAAACATTTGTCACAGTTGGCATGAGAATTCAACCTTAGTTTGAAAAACGCTAATTAATTTTCTATAAATTCAAAATTTTAATATTGCTTTTTGCTTTCATTGTGTTATCACGAAATTTACCAAGAATGATTATGCATCGTATACGATTGGTTGTAAGATTTAGTTTATAGATTTAAATTGCGATTTTATTAGTGCTTATAATCGAATAATATGCTCAAATGTCATAATTAAAAAACACACATTCGGTGCAATTCATCGTTCTCTTTTAAAAGAAAAACTATTTACATTAGTTCCCTGTTTGTCTGAATAAATATTTAAGAGAAGAACAACATTTTTTTCGAAAACTTTTACTAATCATTCAACATCTCTATGTCATAGAAAATACAGATATGATATCTTTTATTATATAATTACCAAAACGCTATTTCCATGTCAACTGAATCCTAAACTCATCTGACATATATTTCGTCATTTTTTCGATCAATTTAGAATTCCAGTAGAAAGTATTAAACAGTTGGTTAGAATCAGATGTATTGTGAGTATCGTAAGTTATGAGCAAATCTTTAAAAGACTTGAAGAAAATGCGTTAAACGGAGATGATTTTACTAACTGATGCTGAGACGAAAAATATGACTGTATCCTATGGGAAATTGATTTCATGCTGTTACTCAGTAATTTTCCTGGTTACTTCGTTTTCTCCCCTGTACCACCTTTTTTTTTTAATTTTATTGGATCAGTACCTGCATAATAAACTTCCTTTCTTGACAATGAAGTCCCTTGTTACATACATTCTATTAGTGATTTTTTTTACACGACAGAAAAATCAAGACTGTATTCTACGAAATCAACTAAGTACTGACAGTCTCGCAACTATCAGATAGAAATGACCTGATTGATAAACACCTTACGGAAAGCTGATGATTAGAATATCCTTATGTATGACTGTTCAAAGTTTATTTTCAGGTCTTTGAAAGGTATGCTCATAATTTCTGACCTATGAGTCTTATAAAAATTCTGATCATAGATTGTTCGAAAGAGCACAGAATTCTAATTCTAACTAAGTGTTTAGTACTTTGCTGCTGACTTTTTGAATCAATCGAAAAACATTTGATGCATTCGTTGTCTGTATCTAATATGTTTGAGTGTAGATCCGAATGGATTTTCATTTCATTCATATCCACACTTACACAAACCTTATGATCATCATGTTTAGTTTCAATTTTATCTGCAGTAACATTTTTACTATCTTCATATTATAGTAAATAAATACTTGCTCTACATTAAGATCCGTGTAGTTTGGTTTTGTTGCATATGTAATAAACCGTTCTCTTTCATTCATTTCGAATTTATGTTTCTACTTCATCAACATTATGAAATATAGTTTCATAAACTCAATATTCTGATTTCTTTCTTTTCCATTAATTTCATAATTTTCGTCCATATCCTTTTCATCTATGGCATCACTTTCATACTGAGCAACTTGTACGACGTCTATCTTTTCTTTTTACTCGTTGACTCTAAGCTGAAATCGGAGAAAAGAATAGAAACCAATAACACATACATGTATGTTGCACATATCTTCTGTACTACATTATAAACAGAAGAGCAAGAAAAAAAAAACATGGATCAACTATAACGCATTTCAAGTTCGATACGCTTATCCATTGATTTCATTGACTGTGAGATACTTGAATTTTCCTAAACTTTAATTCTATTAAGAAAATCTAATTTATCACTAACTAACTATTTAAGTAATTTACTAATTTAATACTTATTTAACATATTGACCAAAAAAAAATTATTTCTTAGGCACGATTAGAAACTCGAAAAGCTGCACAAGAATATCAAAATTCTGTTGAATTATATCATACGGCAAAAGAAAATTTAATTCTTGCAGAAAATAAATTATCAAAATCTGATAATAAAACATGGCAAGAATATGTCAATCATATCAATATAAAAGTAAAATATTAAAAAAAAAAACAACATTATCAAATATACATATTATTATCTAAGGTTATACAAACTGAACAAGATAAATTACATTATGAACAAATACACGAAGAGAAATCAAAACTTTATCAAGAATATGAACAACAAAGAATAAAACTTTATCGTTCATTAACAAGAATGATTACTAAATCAAAGTATGACTAGATCAAAAAAAGAAAAGAAAATTACATCATATAATTTTTTTTGCTATTTTATAGACCTTATTTTGATGCAAAAATCAAAGCAGAAAATGAGCTGAAAGTAAAAAAAATGAAAAGCATTATTTAGTAGAAATCAACTAAATTTTTGTATATATATATAGAATCAAAAATGTCGTATAGAAGATATACAAAAAGCAATAATGCAAGCCAAAAAAACATATCGTACAGCATTGAATAATCTTGAACAAATTTCTGATGAAGTAAATCATTAAAATTTATTATTAAATATATGATTGTTTTTATTGATTAGATTCATACAAAACGTAAAAATCAAATTATAATGAAACTTCCTCTACGTGAACCAGCTGTTGGTGCTGAAAAATCCGATGAATTTATTGAAATACCTAGTTTTGGTAATTTTCGAATTCGTTTCTTTCTTTCTTGTTTTATCTTCTCGTTATTTTTTATTTTCTTTTATTAAAGAATTTTCAAATATTGATCTTTCTGATGATTCATTTGATAATGAATTTTCAAAATCAACAAATTCATTATCAATTAATACAAGTATGAATTACATTTATCCACCATCTAACATTAATATGTCTAATAATCTTTCATCATTAATAAATAATAAATTTCAAAATCACTCTAGTATACAAACAATTGCATGTGAAAATTATGAAAATGATCAACAACTACAAAAAGATATAAAAACAAGTAAAAATGGAAGAATAAATACAACAGGAATATTAAAGAAAAATGAAACGCCATTGCTTTCGCATCTTTTTGGAACACATAAATTTCATAGTGATTCAAATTTAAATATAATAAAATAATAATTAACGCTATATTTCTTGCTTTTTTGCTCTCATTTTCTTCTGTGTTTATTACAGCATGATGATATATGACACTATTAACAATAACAAAACATTATTTTTCTTTGTTCTTCTTCTTATTATTATTGTATATATTATTGTAAATAATTGAATTGATCTGGCAATACATTGCAATATAATTTTTCTTCTTTTTTTTTGTACTTTAGATTATAGAAATATATGACTGACAGAATCTCATGAAGATTATATTGCCAACAACAAATGCGTGTACTTATCAACAATTCGATGTTAACTATTATTACAGTTGGTTCTTTTAGACTTGATCTGATTAAAAATCAGTCCGATACATTAAACAATCATGATTATCAATCACTGTAACAAAACATGTAGTATAGTAAGCCTACACAATTCGTTTATCATCATAACATAAACTTTGGCATGGGTTTATGATCCGATTTCGTCCATATAACTTAAAAACGGGTTTATGCTCGCAGAAAACAGTACAAGGATGCATGCATTTATGACAGACTACAAACCCTTGCCAAGGTTTATGTTATGGCAATAAACAAATAGCGAGGATGTATTATTCTACCTTGTTTTTTTTATAGTGGTAAGCATGCACCAAAACCGAATGATTAGATTTCTAAAGAGCTTGTTGATTGAAAAACATATACGTATCACTGATGAAATTCTTGTCTTTTTATCTTGCTCTCAAGTTTGAATCACTTCAGTTTTGGTCGATGCCTAGTTAACATATAAAGTTATTTTTTTAAACATAAACCTTCTGATGAAATATATAAATTCTTTTAATTCCATCACGTTTTTTTTTGTAATACAGATGATCGTAACAGAAACATTGTTTCATTCACAGACTCTTCCTGTTTAACAGATATGGCGCGACTTTTAGATATATATATATAATTAGAAGTTTTAATAGATATTCGAGATTGGTTCTATAAAAGATTTTCAAGAAAGATCATCAAGTATTTTAATTTTTTGAACAATATAATATCCGGATCATCCGATGAGAAAGAAAAACTTATGTAATGTCCTTATTTTTTCTCTAAATAATTCGAGTCTCTGTGTCTATCAAAGTAATAAATATGAGATAGAAAGCTTTTGTATTTGTTTTACTCTAAATAAAAAATTCGCTTTCTATATATGATAGAACAATAATTATTTTGTTTCTTTGTTTTTGTAGGTAAGCATTAGTTGAATTTCGATTGCATACACATGATGATAGAAATATTTTTTTTTCATATAGAAACTTTTCGAGGTTTTCTTTATTAAATACAATATTTGCTAGATAAATGAAAAAAAATTACAAAATGTTATCTGTATATATTTATTCGAGTACTTTTTCTATCCGTATACTTCTGCCCATGTATTTGAGTTTAATAAAAAAAAGACTAATAGTAGTTGTTTTTTTTTTACGTTCTGCTATCGACATAGACGGTGATTTTTCTAGCTATTGAAAAGTAAATTATGTTCGTTTTTCTTGCTTCTTTGTGGTTTTATGAATTACTAAATCGTAAAGAAACATATCAATCAATGTTTTTTTGAGCTTAATCCTTCGTATGTAATGAATGTGATGTATTTTGTATGTCAACGTGTTAGAAAAACTGTCTTAAAAGTTGATTTTTTTACACTCAAAAGAAAAGAAAATTTCGTTCTCTTTTCGTTATGGAGACAAATACGTCGGAGACTACCTGCTCTTTTCGTTATCAATTATGTTGCATCCATAGACGTCACATACATGTATACATATATATATATAACTATGCAATCAAAATACAAACGTCAATCATCGATGCAATCGTGTGTAAAAATATTCAATGTAATGTTTATTACAATGATGACTCCATAGCTATTCTGATTAATGCATATAATTTTAGACTATTGAAAATAATTTTTTTTCGAAAGCATTGCCTTAATCATAAGTATCAATGCGTATTATCATATTTTTTAAGAAATAATATTAACTAAATTTGATCTCTTTTAGATGATATGAAAAATTAAACATCAAATGACAAGTCGTAATTTAACATCAAATTTTTTGGAATTTCGAAATCGTGCTGCACGTGATCGAAATTTTCATGATTACGAAAGAGTATGTTTAATTCATTATATTAATTGACTATTCATGTCATAAGAATCTCGACTTAACATTAAAAAAAAAGTTCTAGATGAGAAATAAACTAATAATTAAAATTTACTCAAGTTGTTCTGTTTTATTTATTTCAATTGGAAAAATTAGCATGATCAAATTGTCAGAAAAACTTTTACTAAATTCGATTTTGTTAAGGAGGTTCATATCAACAAAAAGTCCATTCTTATTCTTAAAAATAAATTATTTTTTGACACAAATATAAAGATACGTGCTCTATGATTACTACTTAAAATTAATCATTGTAAAAACTTTAAATGGTTTCTAAATGATGCATTAAAGTTTCTGAAAATTTTTATGGTAATATCCTTCAAAAAACCTCGGCGCATAGGTGGAAGAAAAACTCTCAAAAAAATCCACTTGCTATTCTTTGTATATATTACTAGGAGTACCATCTCATGCTGGATTTGCAATATCTTCATATTTGATGTAGATATACAATCATAAGTACATAAAATTTAGAAAATAAGTTTTGCAGTTTTTTGTGTATTAGTTTATTTTCCTGCAACAAAAACATCCATAGAAAGTTTCATTAGAATCTAATGTACTGTGTTGAAGTTAGATTTTTCAGTCCTAAAATGCATTCTTGCCAGATGTTGAATACACACCACTGTTATTGTTTTTCGTATGAAATTTGAATAAAAAAATTAATCGAAATATAAAATATATTATTTATTATTTATCTAGTCTAATGATGATCGAATGGCTTTAATTCAAAATGAAGATGAAGAAGTTATACAATTTGAAAAAAACATTCCACCAGCATGGTATTTATCTTTCTATTATGAATTCATTTATTTTTCGATCTATTAATTTAGGATGGATTCTCAACGTCGAATACAATTACAACTTGAACAAGTACGAAGTCGAAGTATGTTTATAAAAAATTTTACCAAACAAAAAAAAAAGTGTTTATATTTTTGTTTTTCTAGTGAAAAAACTACAACAATTACATGACAAACATTTAACAAGACCTGATTTTGATGAAAATTCAAGTGAAGAAAAAGAAATCGAATCACTTACAAAAGATATTACTGCAGTAAGTATTTCTTATAATAGTTTCAAATAAATAATTCTTTTCTTTTGTTTTTGTCTTGCAATTAGATGTTAAATGGATGTCATACATCTGTTCAACAACTTTCAAGTCAAGCAAATAAACCACAAGTTAATACTTATGATAAACGTTTAGCTTCCAATGTTGTTCAAGCTACAGCAAGTGCTTTACAAGATTTAACTATTAAATTTCGTAAATGTCAATCGAATTATCTTCATAGTAAGTATTTTCGTCAAAAAAAAAAGATTGCAGCGAACTTCGGCAGCTCTAGGAAACATATCAATAAAAACAGACATGTGTTCAGTGCTAATTGTAAAACAAGAAAAATAGAACTATGAATTAGAAACATTTGAAGAATTTTATAGAATTTAAATTATACAGAAAAGTTTCAATTTCAATAAGCTTTAATATGATATATCAGTTATTTCTTGAGTTGTATTCTGTAAGAAAATGTTCATGATTAGTCAATGTACACTTTAGCTTTACAGAAAATCAGATCTACGGTTTGCCAGATTGAATATAGATAAAGTGCCATCAGTAGATAGTATTACATAGTAGTTGAAAAGTAATTAAGAATACTCTTCCCAGCATTTTTGACCGTTTTGAGGTTCTTGACAGTGGTACGACCGATCAAGTTGATATTCTTACATCACAAATAAGGAAATACATATTTGAGAAAAAAATAATTTGTAGTGAATTTTTTACGTTCACATACATTGTTCCTCTTTTTTTCGTAACTATCTATCGTTAACTATTTTATCGTATGCTGTGACACAACCGATACGTCTGTCCTCGTTCAAAATTATCCTTTCTGTTGTCTCTACCTTCATCTCTGGATCTCTTTCTCTCTTCTGATTGCACACATAAACACGCGCTTTTGTATAAAAGCTAGGCAATTGGTAGTATGCAGAAAGAGAATAAAGCATAACTCCATCCAGATGATTATTTCTTCTATCAGAAAATCGTTACCATACCTAAGACTGTATCTCGAAAGTACTTTCAAGTTTTTACAAAAGAATTTGCCTCTCTTATTTTTTAAGAGAGAAATAAATAATAGTTCGATGCTAAAATTGAAATCTTGGCTTTCGGAATCCTGTCAAACTAGATAGAAAAGCCAAAAATGAAGACAGCTGATTTTACCTTGGGAGAATTCTTCCAAGTATCAGCAGTAAAGCTTTTAGCCTGTTAGATGAACGTCATAAGCAGCAACAATGTAACTCTATGAAAATCAGGAGTTCCCAGAAGAAACTACAAAAATCCATTTCAAAATTCTTTTTTCTCGAGCACATGTCTCTTTATTTTTGGTGAAAAATTTTCAGCTTGATCGGTTGTACTGCTTTTGAGAACCAGAAACAGTCAAAAAAAGACTTCAAATTGCCTTAAGCAGCAATATTGAGAATATGTTGGATATAATCCTTATTTAAAACATGTTGAAATAAAATATTCACACGTTTTTCAAGCATTTGAAAACAACTAATTAAAAAAAAATAATGTATTCCGATTGCAATTGTAAATTTGTATTCAAAATTTTATATCTCACTGAAAATTTATTCATGATAAACAAAAATTTGAACAGATTGAGAAAAAATGTTTGTAAAAGATTTTCTTTTCGTTAATTTGATGTTAGGATTGAAAGTTTAAAAAACTTTAAATAATTTTTAATATTTCAAAATTCATTCTATAAACTATCTTATCTAATTTTCTTTTGTCACTTGTAGGAAAAATTTGAAAAATCTATTGTACATTAAAGGATGAATTTTGAAAAAAATTGGCAAATGCAATTCTCTACGAAAAGTAATTCTTATGAAAACATGCTATTGGATGAAAACTATCGTTAAAAAATCTAATTAAAATAAGCTACACATTAAATTAAAGAAAGCTCCAATTTTGCTTTTATGGACGCTATTTTTCGCTCGTGGGAACAAACTACTCACAATTAACCAACTGTAAGCTTGACAGAAATTCTAAACATATATTTAAAAAGAACATACAATCCTGATTCTAATGAATTTTCTTTAATTTTCATCCGCAAGTGTTATACAATCGATGTGAAATGAATTTCCTCCTCTTCATATTTCTTTTACTACAGTATACATGAACATACAGATGATGATAAAAAAAGATTCTTAACATTTGCTTGAAATGATGTGATGTTTATTATATTTATCGGTCATAATGAATAGTGATAAAAACGATTCGAAATAGAAATATTACTTTAGAATATTACACTTGGAAAAGAGTAGTTTGTCAGAAAAAAAAATCAGACATTATAGTTTTGAGATCTTAGAAGATTTTATCAGATGTGTTTTTTCATAATACCATTTTAAGGAGCATAAAATTTTGAAGAGGTGCCGCAGTTTTTATCATACTTTCTTAATAAGTTAAAAGTATCCCGAAACCCGTAAACAACAACATTTATCAAAAAATCGACTTTTCTCGATTTTTGTAATACTTTTAAGTTTTTAAATGATAGTCGCGAAAAGTCTGGCTATTCTTCATTTTGTTCTCTATAAAATTTTATGATTAATAATAGCTCCGACAAAGTCTTCTGTGGTCTAAAAACTACCATTTCCGATTTTTTTATAAACCTTACCATCATAGTTCATCTATGAAATCTTACTATAGAGCTCATCAAATAGTAAACATTCCATTAGCAAAAAAAGCCTCGATCTCATTTTATTAATTTGATTGTACTCATAATCAGAGCTTCGCGTGAATAAAAACAGCGAACTATCTTAGTTTTGATCAAAAGTTTGTGTATTAGCACAAAAAAATATTTTGTCTGAAGACTTTTGCAATTGAGATTGTACATATACGAAAAAAATTTTTCATCTCGTTTTTATATATCAATTATATCTTGCTCTTTCTTTTTTCTTTAGAATTGAAATCTCGGAAAGAAAATTTCAATCGTATAATGCCTGATCTTGCAATCGATATGCATACTAATCCATTTGGTGATCAAAATGATCCTGATAAAAATTTCGATCAAATATCTGTAAGAATAAAACAATTAAAATTTTATTTATTTTATATTTTATTGCATTTAGTTAACTTCCGAAGATCAATTACAATTAACATCACAAAATGTTGAATTTTTAGAAAAACGTGATAAAGAAATTCGTGAAGTATTAAAATCCATTGAAGATGTTAATGAAATTTTTCGTGATGTTGCAGCACTTATTTCTAATCAAGTAAGACTCACAAGGGAATGTTTCTAAATGTTACATCAAGATTATGTGCATAATATACGTTCTAATCAGCTATGAATAATCAGGAAAATTGATTTTCAAATTTTGACTTGAAACTTGGTATAGAGAGAGACTTCAATCAGAATAGTTTGATTATCGAAATTTCAGATCTTATGATTGTTTATATCCTAAAATATGGCTTCGATTCAAGCATATTTTCTCATACCACTCGTATATAATGGCGAATTCTGATATTCTTATTTTAGAATAGGCGCAGCCGAAAATTTTGAAATTTGTCCCATCAACTGTTCTCGTTAAGGTTTATCTCTATGCAAAGTTTCAAGTCGAAATCCGAAAGTCAGTTATTCTGATGAGTGATCATGGTGTTCTCTGTAAAAAAAAAGTCTTTTCATGGCGATAATCTATGAAATCGAACTTTTTCAGAGTATTCACGGCTCATCAGAACCTACATAGTTCGCATCATCTAGACTCAAAAGCTAGTTTGATACTTAGAAACATAATTTCATTGATTTTTTTTTGTCTATGAATTCAAATACAATGAATATTCTATTTAGGGAACAATTCTTGATCAAATTGAATATAATATTGAGAATACTGCTGTTCAAATTGAAAAAGGAAATAAACATTTAACTAAAGCTGTCGAACATAAACAACGTGGTTTAAAATTTAAATTAATACTTATTGGTGTTGTTGTATTAGTTGTATTATTTATTATTTTAGTTGGAGTTGTATCTAGATGAAAATTATTATGTTTTGTTCGTTAATCTCATTATTAAAAAATTTTATTTCGTAATTAATAAGAAAACAAAAAAACAAAATATAATTCTGATTATTATTTTTTTTTCGTCTGTAAAACTTTTGTTGTCATTGATTTTATGTTGGTTTCCACGTTTATTTATTCGTTTTCTTTTTTTTTTCTTCATTGTAAACAAATATCTTGTTGATAACTTATATTTGTTTCTTTTCAGATTAATTCAATATGCATAGAATATATTTATCACTGTCGATTTTTTTATTTACATTGTCAATAATTCAATGTGATATAACAAATCTTGATGAATTTTTTCGCGTATGCAACCAGAATAACTCAAAAGAATATCGAGTTGGATTTCTATCACAAGCTAATCTTGATGTTGTCAGTCGATATCTACCAATCAATATAAAAAATGTATTTTTTCAGGATAAAAACGAAATGTTAGCAGCTATTGAGAATGAAACCATTATTGGTATATATATATATTTTTTTTCATAATCTGATTCATAGCATTAAAGAAATCTTTTCTTTTTTCTAGCCGGTGTTACAACTGGCATATTAGCTCAAGACATACAACCACGTTATCATGTATTTTCATCATTACTGGTTTCACCACAAGCAATGCTTGTTGCACCTGATTATGATCGAATAGTAGCACCTTATGGATTGAAAAACACATCAAGCAATGATCTATTTGATGCACTAAATGCTGCTATAGCTGATGTACAAAGAGAAGATACAGATGAAACATTACTCACACAGAATAATCGAACAAATTTAATTCGAGCTTATACATGTCGTCAAAATACACAATTACCTGTTCCTAATCGTAATGATACCAGGGGTATTTTACGTGATATACTATTTAATACGACAAAAATTGTAATTGGTGGTTTAGGACCAAAAAATTGGGGTGTACATGATGGAAATTATAACGTATCATCACCTACTGGTTATTATCCTGCATTACTTGAAGCTATTGTTAAAAAACTTGGTAAATTAAAAGGACCAGATGGAATTGTTTATAATGAACAATTAAGTTTTGAACGAAAATATTATGCTACTCCAGAATTACTTTTTCGAGCTTTACTTGATGGAGATATTCAGGCAACTGATGTTTATATACTTATTGATACACCGTATAATGGTACAGGTGAAACATGTTCAAATGATGGTCAATGTCGAGCACGTGAAACGTGTGTCGATGGTATTTGTACGTATCCACAACGACCACGATCACTTCATTTTCGTACAACATGTACAACAGCTAGTCGTGATACGAAATTTATTACAAAAAAAGATAGTAACTTTCTAAGAGTAAGTATGTGAGGAGACTTAGACATCGATGACAGAACAATAACTTAAATGTTCTACTTTTCTTATATGTTGTGCATAGTAATGAGTTTAGTAACATCTGAAATTTTTCAACTCGATCTGATCATTTCTTCTATGACTATTATATAAAATACTGATGAATTTTCTTCGAACAAAATGACTTTTGCCTTTCGAAATGAGCATGTTTTGATATTATGCTTTTTTAATCATGATTATTAGTCATTTTTTTACTACTGAATAGGATATTTCAAATATTTGTCTTAATTAAATACAATATATAGAGATATCTCAAACAGAGTTCTATTTTATCTGTTTTTGATAGGTTTTTGTTAGCAAAATGTTAGTCGAGTGCGTTTTATGCGCCTACATCAGAATGTCTTACTACTTTTCTCAGTGATAGAGTTCAAAAAGTTCTGTCACTTGACAAATCTAACAATTTTGACAGATGTAAAAATAGTTGATTTTTATTAGCAGTACGTCTTATATTCATAATTATCATGCGAAACTGCACTAACAAACTTTATTCTCATCTTGAAAGATTTGTTATGAAAATTTTACTATACCTTTCATCAACTATTCACCTCAACAATTTTACTCCGAACTCTCTTCTACAGATGAAATTTCGATCAGAAATATTTCAAGATGAGAAATATGTTTGCTGGCGCAGCTGTGCATGCTGATTGCGAATATGAGACCTACTTCTAATAAAAGTCAACTATTTGGCATCAAAATCTGGAAATACTTTTTTTTTAATGTGATTTTCTGTAGAAATTGTCTCGCTTTTTAATGTGCATCATCTTTTTGTTAACATTAAAAATATCGAAGATCTAGTCTAATAAGTTTATTTTATCAACGTCTTCAAACATATCTTGTGAATCGTCGAAATAAAGATGGCTTTTGATTGAAAGTGATTTAGTTTTTGTATGGATCAAAATTGTTAAATATATCAAACGATAGAACTTTTTGAATTTGATCACTGAGGGAAATAATAAGACATTCTGCTATAGACGTATAAAATGCATTAGACTGAGATTTTGCTAACACGAAAATGTCAAAAACGGATAAAATAGAGCTCTGTTTAGGGTATCTATATATCTTACATTTAATTAAAGAAAACGTCTGAAATTTCTTAAGTAGTAGTATAAATTACTAATAGTTATGATTAAAAGAGAATTCAATCAAAACTTTCTCATTTCGAAAGATAAAAAGTCATTTTTACGAAGGAAACTCTGACATATTACTCTATGCTTGATGTACTCGGCTGAGTGAATTTTCTAAAACTCTCTTTTAAGAACTGATGCAATGGTTCAAAAAATTTTAAAATATGAAATGAAAAAAAAAACGATTATGTGTACGAACTAATATCATTTTAAAAAAATTACATATTTTTTTCTTTCATTTATTTTTAGGAGAATACATCGTCAAACAATCAAACTAATGGTCCTCGTCAAACACCAAAAACACGTTGGATTGGTTATATTTTATTATTTGTTGTGCTTTTTGGTACAATATTTCTTGGTTTACTTATACTTATACGTCGTAAAAAATATTATCGTATTGAACATACATTACAAGGTGGTTTTGGTAAATTTGCTCGTCTTCAAGAAGAATCTGAACCACCTATTGAAAGTATGGATGCATTTGAAGATCATGTTGTACAATCACCCAGAGACAATACTAATTCAACAAGTTAAACTAATGTGCTCTTGTGGCGCAATCGGTTAGCGCGTTCGGCTGTTAACCGGAAGGCTGGTGGTTCGAGCCCACCCAGGAGCGTACTCTTTTTTTTTGCTTTTGCTTCCAATATGTGTTTTTTTTTCTTTTTCTCATTCTTTCTCAGTGGCGCTCGCGAATCTCTTTATACATCAACTCGAATTTCTTTTTGTTTGTTCGCATTTGAAACATCCTTTTAGCTGTGATAGATTGTTGTACGTCTGTTTGTGTTGTACGTTTTTTATCATACCTTTTACCATTGCTTCTTGCTTATGTATTCTTCCTATTCATGTATTAACATTCTTACCCGGTTAGATATTTTCAATAAATATTGAAGGAAAATTTTTTTTTGTAACTTTCTAAATAGCTGTTTCAGTAATTGTAATATTTTCGTTAGTAAGTTGAATGAAGGTATGATTGACATAAAGACTAAAACCTTACTTGTATGTGCTCTTGTGGCGCAATTGGTTAGCGCGTTCGGCTGTTAACCGGAAGGCTGGTGGTTCGAGCCCACCCAGGAGCGCTTTCGTTTTTGTAAAACAAATTTTTTAAATTAAACGAAATAATTTTTTTTTAGCTATAATAATTAATTTCATTCTTTAATTATAAACTTATTTCAAAAAAAGTTTTTTATGACATAATTCAAATAGTAGTTACAATCATATAAAAAGAAAATCATTCGAATTTTACCATATATAAATCCATGTATAGGATGTTACAATTGATTGAGTAGGTGCTCCGACAATATGTCCACCTTGATTAATAATACATTTATATCCATCATCATCAATAACATCACCATTTCTCCATTGAAATCGAAAACCATTCGTAAAAAATATTGGATCTAAATCATGTATACGATAAGCTGACCATTCATATATATTATTTGATAATTCTTTATAATGTGTATAACCAGATATTTCATTATGATATTGTCCAGCATTAAAATAAAATGCACTATCAAAATAATCTTCTGTACCTGTTGCAACAATTAAACCTGGAAATTCTTGTTCATATCTTGTATAAGCATGATAACAACCTTCAAGAAAATTTAAATTTCCACTCATAACAGCTAATGTATGTGAAAATAGTAGACCTTGACCACTAGATATATCAACAAGAGGTACCCATGATAATGGATTGTAAGTTTTATTTTCAATTTTATATAAAATTAAACGAGCATTCCATGGAAGTTGAAAACCATGAAAATTTGTTGGTAGATTTTCTGTACCACGTAAAATAATCCAAATCATTTTTCGATTAGTTTTTGTTGATGGTAATTTACCAGTAATACGTATGGATTTTTGAAATGGTACTCGACTATCAATCAAATTTTAATTATAATTAAAAATAAATAATATAAACTTACAAATTATTATACCAACCACCATTTTTTGCTTCTTTACCAATCCATTTAGTTCCCCATGGTGTAGTTTGATCATTAAAGCCGGCTCCAACTAACATATAGGTTATAAATTGTATCGATGGTACATTTTCTCCATCGATATAATACGAAAAAATAGATTCATCAATTGCTTAAAAACACGCATGAAAATTATCTGTTAAAAAAAATATTATTTTAAAACTTACCTGGATCACCAGTTGTCCAAAAATGAGTGAGAACACCAAAAGATGAACCAGTTGACACGTTATAATTAAAAAGCTCAGTCTATGAATAAAAGAAATGTTGTTTTAAAAATCTAATAAATCTTGAAAATTTTTTCCATAATAAAAGTAACAAAATAGTCTTAATAATTTATTCATTTCGTATTAATTCAATACCTCTGTTGGATACAACCAATGATTAGATAGACCAATACCAAATGTATTTAAATCTTGAGCAATGGTACTTATCATACATATAAATAATAAAAACCAGACGTACATATTCGTATCAAATGTATTTTTCCTCCTTTACATAACAAGGTTTTTTTGTTTCAATGTCGACTTGATAACTATTCTTTTTCCTTAAATAAAGACTTTTTTCTTTTTGACTTATGATTTATTGTTATATAGATGCTGTTGTATAAAATCATGATAAACTGTCTGGCTGATATAATGATGTTCTATTTCATTTGTGCTTCATTGAATATATGTTATGGACGAATATAACGAGAAAAAGGTATAATCAACTGGAGATGTAACCATTACTGTCATCTTTAATAATGTTTATTTGGTTACTTCACATCTTTAGCCATGTCTATCCAACGATTGAAGAGAAGAAAAAAAGAGATGAGAAGAAAGAGTAAATGAGAATATCAACGACAGAAAGAATGATATTAATATCGACAAAATAAAGTCGGTCACAACGATAATATTGAATATGAAGAAAAGTAACGAACAAAAACCTAATATTGTACATCGTTTATTAACTTCAACATTAAAATTCATTAGAGACAATCAAAATGATCAATTTAAATCATCAAATGATACATTTAAATATGAATTACCCGAGAGTTTTTTCAAAGCAGTAGAAGATGCTCGTACAAAAGCTGGATATGATATTCTTCCTCGTCATCGTCATCGATCTGTTCCATCATCATCTCGTCAGAATAGTTTCTCATCATCATCATCATCATCATCATCATCATCACCTTCTCCACATCGTTTACAAAATGATCATAAAGCAAAACCAAAAATCTATCAATCATCATCGGCAAATGATATTGATAAAGTTTGTAAGAAAAAAGTCCAATTTCGTCGAACACCTCGTAAACATGTACAAGAACATCAATCAATAACAACTCCAAGAGTATTTTCATCTAGACCACTATTTCGAATGATGATGAATCCTAATTTTGTAATGGTTAACAGAGGTCGTAGACCACGAAACTTCATGCCAATGCGACCACCAATATTTATGCAACAACAACAAATGTTTCGGTTGAGATTTCGATGAATAAAACAGTAATCGTTATGATTAATCGATCCATGCTTTTTTTGTTAAATAAATTCAAAAAAATAAGAAGAAATTCTCTCAAAAACTATCTTCCAGTCCTATACCATGACAACTTTTAGAAGATATTCAGCAAACCAGACTCAAAGAAAGATCATTTGGCAACCCAAAATTCGTTGTAGGCCTTCACTTTAAATTAGCATGCTCTTTCGTACGAAATAAATTAAATAAATAACATGAAGACCAACACAGAATTCAAGATTGTACGATCAAAAAAGTATAAACACAGGAAAAAGTCAAAAAGATTTCTCAGCTTTTGTGAGAAAAAGGTATATTTTTCAAAACTAAGATGACAGAAATCATCAAAAATGAGGTGCCGAATCAAAAAGTCATATTATTTATCAATGATCAGATTTCGGGTATTCTTCTGATGTATTTATCTCAATTTCCATTCTTTTGCGAGAAGAGATAATTTTGAAATTATTATTCTCAATGCTTTAATAAGTCAACATTTCATTTCAAATTAATTATGTTTAAAAGATAATCTTATATCATGCGGGCTTAATAAAAATTCGATGTAGTTTTTGATAGTCCATTTATCAGCGACATCTTTTTAAAAACATAAAATTAAACAAAAAACAACTTTTCAAAATATTTTTTTTATATTTAATAAAATCTATAAAAATTTTCATTTTAAAAACAGATTCATTTTCTTTATGTCTTATTTCAAAAAAAACAAACTATTCTCAATAATCATCATCCATTTCCAACACTATTTCTCTCCATATAATACACATCTATTTATTTGTATTTTATTTTCACTTATATTCTTAACTATCGTCGATCTTTTTATTATATTTATATAAAAAAAAAAATAGAAACCAGAAGAAACATCGGGATATGTCTCGCGATGTTGTTTATCATGATTCAATGAACAAATCAACACGTTCGAATAGTGATGATAATCTTTCATTAAATCCAATATCAACAATTATTCATTCGAAACCAACATCTCACGGTGCTGGTGGATTAAGCTTTGGTGCTAAAGATGATAGTTCACCGACGTTATTATCAAGTAAAAGTGTTGCTTCATCACCATATTATAATGCTTCATCAGCTATAGCCGTAAGCTTGAGATCAAATTATTTGTTTTCTTTTTAAATTTATATCTCCTATTCATCATTTATTATAGGTACTCGATTTATTACCTTTAACTTTTGTAGGTGTTATATATATATATATATATTTGATTGTATAGAAAATTTTTCTTATCCGTTCGCTATTCTTTCCTAAGATTGATTTCACGATTTGAAATAAAATGAATTTCTTATATTTTTCTTTCTAGGGTTTTATAAAAGGGCACATAGAATCAATGGCAACGATGTCGATTATAGAACAACAATCAACTGTTGCACATACAAAAGAATTATCATTACCGATGGAATTTTTACCTGGTGAAGAAGATGTGAAATTAAGAGAATGTAAAAAAATAATAATAAAAGTCGAAGTTTCAATATTAAAGTTAAAACATTATTTCTATTAGATATAACTTATCATATTCCTAAACAAGGAGTAAAATATCAGGGTGAATTAGTTCTAACTAAATATCGTTTATTATTTGTTACAAAATCGTCAGAATCCGTTCAAGTATGATAAAAGATTCTTTGTTTTTATTTTCTAATTAGATGTTTTTGTTTTTGTTATTTGAAGATTCTTGTTGATGTACCATTAGGAATGATGAGTCAGATACGAAAAGTTGGTGGGCAAACACGTAGTAATATAAGTGATAGTGCTGCATATGGAATTGAAATTATTTGCAAAGTAACAAAAAGAAAAAAAAGCAAAACAAGATTTATTGATTATTTTTTTTTGTTATTAGGATCTTCGGCATTTCTTTTTTGGTAATACTAAAGAACAAAATCAACGACGTAATTTGTTTGATAACTTAAATCGTTTGATTTTTCCATTTTCAATTCGTAAAGCAGATATTACAAAACCATTAGTATTTTTTAGTGTAAGAAAAATTTTTTTTTCGATTGTAGATAAATTTTACCGAATAGTATTGTTTTTGATAAGTCAAACAATAGAGAGTCTTTGTTCTTTTTTTTACCACAGTTTAACTCTCACACAATATATTTAAGAAAGACTTAATTTACAGAATTTTATATTGAGGTTTTAATAGGACTAGTGCATTCCATGAAACTTAAAACCATATAATATTTTGAACCATAATCTTTAGTTCAGGTTGAAATAACGTCTTTCTCGTGGTTTCGACAAACTTCAAAATTTTGGTTTCGTATATTTGTCGTCATAACACAACATTTTCGTCATTCTATGAAAGATTGGCGACTCTTTTTAGAGGTGTGAAAAGCTGGAAATTCGGCACAAAATGCTATCGGTAGGCGAAGGGCAGAACAAAAACTACTGTGTCCTAGTCCCTTGTATAACAAATGGCATACAGTCAGGCCATCCCTTCTTCAATCCTATTTATCTCACTACGACATAGTCTACTTATTTGATATTTCAGTTTCTGTCAGCGACGAAAACGAGATTTTAAAATCCAGTCTTTGCCCAAAGTTACTGTGAAACTGTAAAAAGTGGACAGAAAGTCGAACAGTTTGAAAGGAAAGTCCCTCTCTTCACGCTAATCGAGAGTCCTGGTTTTCTAACATAATTGTTTATTCAGTGAACAAATATATTTATGATCGTCATAAATAAAAGAAAAACAAGTTTTTTGTCTCGTTTTAGTCTTTCTTTGCGTGGAATTACAAGAAAAAAATGTGTCCAGATAAGATCGATGAAGGTTGGAAATTGTATGATAAAATAAAAGATTATACAAGAATGGTAAGTTTTTTTTTTTTGAAAAAAATGTTATTTTTCTAATTTCAATATTTCTTTTAGGGCATTCAATTAAATGGTGATGCACATTGGATCATAAATACGGAAATCAATAAAAATTATGCATTATGTGATACATATCCAAATGTTCTTGTTATTCCGTCCAATTTTGATACATCAAGATTAGAACAGGTCGTTAATTTTCGTAGTCGAAATCGTATTCCAGTATGTTTTACAAAACAAAAAAAAAAAAATTTTCATTTTTTTTTCTATAATTTAAAAATTTATTTTTAAAGGTTCTTAGTTGGTATTGTCGTCAAACTTATGTAACTATTACTCGATCAAGTCAACCATTGACTGGTCTTAATCGTAAATGTCAAGATGATATTGATTATTTACATGAAATAGCAAATACAAATGTAAATCAAGGTTCAAAATTATGTATTCTTGATGCACGTCCAAAAGTAAATGCACTAGCTAATAAAGCTAATGGTGGTGGATATGAAGATTATTCAGATTGTGAACTTGAATTTCAAAATATACAAAATATTCATGTTATGAGAGAAAGGTTGGAGAGAGAGAGAGAGAAAAAATGAAATAGAAGAAAAGGAAATTTTGTTGTTTTATTCTAGTCTTAATAAATTACATGCAACTATACGATCTGGATCACAAGAAGATAAAGCATGGTTAAATGATTTAGAAAATTTAAATTGGTTATTTCATATTCGAGTATGTGAACTTTATGAAATTATTATTAGAAAAAAAAATAATAAATGTTTGCGTTTTATTTTTCAAGGCAATTTTAACGTCTGTGAATCGGTTAGTTTCTCTAATTCATAATGATCAACGTTCAGTATTAGTACATTGTTCAGATGGATGGGATCGAACAGCACAAGTAAATAAAGAAAACACATACTTTTCTAATATTTTATATCGTTTTTTATTTTATAGTTGACTTCATTAGCAATGTTAATGCTCGACCCATACTATCGAACATTAGATGGTTATATGATTTTAATAGAAAAAGAATGGATTAGTTTTGGTCATAAATTCTTTTTAGTAAGTATAGATCAAAATAGAACTTAAGAAAAAAAATTGTTTTTTTTTTATAATATTCTTCTAATTAGCGTATTGGTCATGGAGATAAAATTGATTCGGAACGATCACCTGTCTTTCTTCAATTTCTTGATTGTACATATCAATTATTACAACAGGTAAAGAAGATTTTAATCTTAAGTTCTGAGAAACTTAGTACACATCTATAAACACTTCATCTACAACAGTGTTCAGGTTTCCAAAAAAAAGTAAATTCTTCTTATGAAAAATTCTACGTCAGAAACTTACTCTCACAGAAAACCATATCCACAACAAAGCTTGAATGTCACTATAAATCTCTTCAAAACAATCAAACTTTTTTGAAACAATGCGTCACGAGTAAAACTGGAAGAAAAATAATTAAGTGAATTTCAGTAATTACTGAGAAACTAATGGTAAGTTTTAGCACATACAGAAACTAACATATATATATATATTGTCGATAAATCGCGATGCGTTTTCAGTCTCTGATGCATTTTCCTGCGGAGCAGAAGAACTGACCGTTCAATATATTGGTTATTATAATAATTCTTCAGAAATTTCTGAAATCGCCTAAACTTCATAAAGTAGCGTCATCTTCTAATTATAAAGTGTATTGGCATGTATATCAGAAAAAAATATTTCGCAATTCCTGTTTTGACCGAAATTCACTAGTGGTTTTCGAAATCTTTTAACACTTACTAATATCTTAAAAGATAGAGGTTTTTTTATAGGATACTCCTTTTATATCTCTGTGAAAAAAAAATCTTAATTCCTGTATTTACCGAGATGTCCAAAAAATTTCTCAAAATACGTCGCTATTGAACGGAGATTCGATTGTTTTTTGTGTTCCGACAATATCTAAAGTTTCCTAATAGTTTGTTTGGTAGTTTCGTAATGGTTGAGTAATATCTGGTTAATTTACTTTTGTTTTATGATAGATTTCGGTAAAATTTTGAAAGTTAACACTAAATTTTTCTGTGATAAATAATTTCATTGTGTCGGAAGTTCACGTTTTTTAGAAATCTAAATATATATCTTCGTTTTCTCTTTTAGTTTGAATCTGCTTTTGAATTCAATGAAAAATTCTT